CTGGAGAAGTTCGGCTTAATGTCGTGTTCCTTCTCTGCTTTCCAGCACCGAAGCGGATGGTACGTGCGCCTGCGACAGATGTATTCATTTGGATCACGTCCGCGGTGCAAGTACAGGCTCTGCACGACCTTCGTTTACATCGGCATTGTGGAGATGGCTATCCCGATCGGGAAGCTGGCGGCGGGTGCCTCAGGTTTGCCCCCATATGAAACAGGGTTTATATTCCTGTGATTGGTGAGTGTATAGAATTTTCCTTCTAATTAAATTTCGATGCGGGTATATATTGGGTGTCCCTTTGGGGAGAGCTGTTTCACCTGCATATGATTCACGACCTCGAGTCCGCAGTACAAGGAATGTAAACCCGACTTCCTGTTACGGTTGTAGGGCCATCGGTGGGTTCCTTGCACATCGAAGTCTCTGTCTCGTACCCCTAAGGGTCCATGTACCTAAATAGGTACTTGGGGCTTAAAGTGCCTCCTATTTAGGGACTTTTGGGCCCAAGTACACAATAATGAGGTACATGGACCCTTAGGGTACTTCAGGCCCTTATGCTGCGAGACGATTGCGCAGATCCTCAGGCCATGTCTCTTGTGCCTCACAACCTGACTCCTATCTCTGAATCATTTCTTTCCGAGCATTTCTTAGCCATTTGCGCCGTCGGAAGTAGGAGCTGGCATTGCATCACTCCTTTCTCGAAGCCGTTGGGCTTCTGCGATTTTATGTGCAGGAGCTCTCATGGCTTGAGGAGCGGGTGCTGGATACAGCCAAGGACGTCGGGTAATGGGAATCCAAAGGAATCTAGATTCTGCCAGATGTCCATCGATATATATATATATATGTATATATACACATATATATATACATATACATATATACAATTGGATCCCTTGATCCATGGGAGCCGTGCCAGGACCACGGAGGAAAGGTGACGGTCCAGGCAGGATCGAAGCAGGGTTCAGGGTCTCGGGGTTGAGGGTTTATAGGGGTTGAGGGTTTTAGGGGTTGAGGGTTTAGGGTTTAGGGTTTAGGGGTTGAGGTTTTAGGGGTTGAGGGTCTCGGGGTTGAGGGTTTAGGGGTTGAGGGTTTATAGGGGTTGAGGGTTTATAGGGGTTGAGGGTTTAGGGGTTGAGGGTTTAGGGGTTGAGGGTTTAGGGGTTGAGGGTTTAAGTTTCAGGGTTTCGGGTGTACAGGGTTTAGGGCTTGAGGGTTCAGGGGTTGAGGGTTAGGGTTCAGGGTTTCGGGGTTATAGGGTTTAGGGCCTGAGGGTTTAGGGCTTAGGGGAGATGAGGGTTTAGGGTCTGTAGGGAACATGTCACAGCTCGACCCCACTTTCCGTGAGAGATGTCTAACAAAAGGATCATCTTCCAGCATCCTGTGCAGAGGGTGGCAGATGCAGCCGCGTGGCCGCAGTGACAGCAACCAAGACCTTGAGATGAAGCGCAGAGTCCGAGCTCGCATGCTCGGCAACATGGCCGAAGGCAAGAGAAGCATTCCGAAGCCCGCAGAGGCAGAGGTCACCAGCGGTTGAACTGAATTCTGGCAGAGTCCATAAACCCTAAACCCTAAACCCATATGTGTATCTGGGCTGCTGCAGTTGCGGCTGCACCTTGCTTGGGACAAGGGAGAGAAGCGGGATGGCAAGCAGGTGGAGTGAGTCAGGACGAGAAGAATGCTTTAGTACAACAATAGTGTAGAACAGCCCTAAATTCAGGGTTACTTATATATAGATACATATAGATATACATATATATATATGTATACATTGTAGTACAACAACAGAGTAAGCAGATGACTTCGGGAGCGGGAGCGGGTCCTCGCGCTGCAGAAGCAACTGGCAATCGCCACGACGTGCAAGGCAGCTGGGGTGTAAGGGGTCAAAAGGTGCGAAGTATGTATGTGATTAATTGCCCGTATCACAATTCCTGTTACTGTTTTTCTATGACCATTATGTACATGATGAATTATACCAGTAGTACTATACGTATTCCTTATGACAAATTGTAGCACAAGTTGTAGTTGCATGCGCCCGTAGGTGAACGATCGAGGCGATCCGGACATCCGTACCGAGGATTTCGGCGACTCACTGCAGGCTGCGTTGAAGGGCTAGTAGAGTATAGGGTTTGGGGTATAGGGTTTAGAGTTTAGGGTTCAGGGCAGTGGTGGCAGTAGAAAAAAGAAACGTTGGACACGCTGTGGTGTATGGAACTAGGCGGATGTTGCTGACCCAAGCTTTGGAAGATTGGAAGATTGGAGAACTGCCGGCGAACCCAGATGTTTTGCGGCATGCCTCCCTAAACCCTAAACCCTAAACCCTAAATAAACCCTAAACTTCTGCGCAGCTTTCCTTAGCCGCAGTCACATGAGCAGAAGGTGTGGTGGAAGTACCAGAAATCGAAGCTTGCTTCCTTTGTCTGCCGCCCTTTGGTGCCTCAAGATTCCCCCCCCCCCCCCCCCCCCTCCCAACATGCTGTGGGTCCTAAACCCTAAACCCTAAACCCTAAACCCTAAACCCTAAACCCTAAGTCCAGTTTTGAGGTGGGGCCCTCTCCGCGGAACCTGGGACCGGGTGAGCTGATGGACAACAAGTTTTGCTCAACTCGGCACGAAAACACACCCTAAACCCCTAAACCCCTAAACCCTAAACCCTAAACCCTAAACACCCCCTAAACCCTAAACATACAATTGCTGCCTTGTAGGTCGCTTTAGAAGCCTTTTAGGGGGGAAGTGTATAGCAATAACCTACACAAAAGGAGGTTTCGGTCCCCTAAACGCTAAACCCTAAACCGTGGGAATTCAATCCCTCAACCGAGAACTTATTCGCGAAGGTGGAGCCCTTCCTTCGCGACCTCGAGCTGCGCTTTCGCAGGGATCTACAGGCCTCAGCCCTTCGTGGTTTAGGGTTTAGGGTGTTTCGGGTGGAGGCTTTATGGTGTTTTAGGGTTTCGGGCTCGGGTTAGGGTTTATGGTCTTTTAGGGTTGAGTTGAGGCTTCTCAGTGTCTACTGTGCTTCCGGGTTCTGCTTGCTGCTCTGAGGTACATGCTCGGATTGACAAGAGTCTGGCAAGGAGAGGGTTTAGGGTTTAGGGTGGGCCTATCTCCTGCTGACTGGAGAGGGCTGAGAGGCCGTCATCTGTGATTTCGAGCTATCTCACCGATGTGGGGGTTTACGAAAATAAGTGACCCCTAAAAGAGACCCGCAAATAGGATTTCCTTGTAATGAGGACCCCAATAAGGCACCTCCCCTGCAATTTGGGAAACACCCCTAAACCCTAAACCCTAAACCCTACACCCTAAACCCTAAACCCTAAACCCTAAACCTCCATGCATCCCCGACTCTGTCGAGCTGTGCTTCTCTTCCCTCCGTCCCCGAGGCTTTCTGCCAAAACCCTCCGGGAAACCTGGCGGGAGGCGCCGGACTTTGTCTTAGGGACTGGCCTATAGGTGACCTTTCACCCTTTTGGTTATATAGAATCCTACTCTATAATTATATATATATATATATATTTATTTATTTATATTTGGTTATATAGAATCCTACTATATTATTATTATTATTATTATTATTATTATTATTATTATTATTATTATTATTATTATTATTATTATTATTATTATTATTATTATTATTATTATTATATATATACACATCTATCTACAAGGCTAAGCAGTTTTGGGCTACTGTAGGGTTGTCCAGCCCCTAGGTTAGTTTCCTGTGAACCCGCGCCTGCACGTGACACACCGCTCAGCATCGCGAGTTGCTGCCCCTCGGCGTGGGTTGGGTGGACTCAAAGAGAATCCTGCCCAGAGAATCCCAAAGTATCCTTTCAGTGCCCATCCTCAGATATCCCACACCAAGATTCTTAGGTTGAGGGAGGGAATGTTCGAAGTGTATGTACATGTCGTACATACATATGTCTTATTTATATATATATATATATATATATATACATATATATATATACACCTAATATGCATATCTATAGGTAATGATTCGTTCATGTACTTCTATTTACATTTGTTTGTATTTTGCATCTGGATTTGTACCCATGTACATGCATGTGTGTGTATACATGCCCCCTGCCATGGTGGCACCCTCTGTCTATTTTTTTCTGTTCCGAGCCCCGCGCTCTTCTAAGTCCTCGAAATCTATGTCTGACCACACGATCTTCTACTTGGGATGTTCCCCCTTATACTCACAGCCCTTGAAAGGGGAAAACATAGGGGGCACTATAATCCTTACTAAGAACTGCCAGTATAGGGGGGGGGGGGAACATCCCAATCTTTTGCGTTCAAAGACGTCGCAAAAACAACGATGAATATGTCTCAGCTTCAGAAAAGACACAGCCGCACCCCGGCGATCTTGTTGTTGTATTTTGCATACGTGTGTCGATGTGTATGTATATGTATATGTGTTTTTAATTTGTACATATATGTGGTTCTGCCCCTGGGCCCCAGATCCCCCGCCCTGACGGAGGATGCGCCGGAACGCGCAGCTATCCTACTATTTGCTTAGGAACCCCAGAAGAATGAAGAATAATAATCCCTATATTACCCTCAATAAGGAATAAGTGTCTTTATTTTGTTCAGGGTTCTTAAGCAACTAGTAGTTGATTCATCCTGACGCCTGGTCTGCACGAACTGGACCCAAGATGTCATCCGACGTGTCCTCAACGTGTCCTGCCAGATGCGCCCATCCAGTCCTGGTGACTTTGTGACCTGGCCGCTTCCTGTACAGATGGAACATGCTCTTTGCAGCGAAAAAGGGAAGGCTGGAATTTCGAGCCTGAGCACAGTTTTCGACCTGCAGGTTCTCTCATGGCTCTGGATGCCCCTTTTTGAAACCGCCCTGAACACTAAACCCTATAGCCCTAAATTCTGAAACCCTTTCTCCGGAACCCTATAAACCCTAAACTCTGACTCCAACTTGCATTCGCGCAGCAGTTCGGCTGCCCAGCTGCCAAAGTCCGGGGGAGAGTCGGGGAGAGAGTGCGGGACCTCAGATGGCGGGATCCGACACCACGCCTCTGCTGCAGACCACCGAGGCGCCCCGAACCATCCCGGGAACCTCAGCGAACCGGGTTTAGGGTTTAGGCTTTAGGGTTTATTAGGGTTTGATGCAACAGTTATTCTCAAAATTTGGTGTCTTCCCTCAAATGGAACTGGGTGCCGGTATTCAGAAAGTGGAAGTTGAATCCAGTAAGTCGAGGCGACTGCTTGTAGTCCTACCCTAAACCCTAAACCCTAAACCCTAAACCGGGGGGGGGTGCGGGGGCTAGGGTCGTTCTTCGGCTCCCGTGCTTCTGCAGGGGGTTGACCGCGCAAGCCATCTCAGCATCGAAATGTCGGAATCCGAAGCATTGGTTTGTGCAGTCAGTGCAGTCTGCTCTCTGGGAGTTTCCATTGTATTCTTGCTTGTTGGGCTACAACCGACCTGCCTAAGGTGCGTCGAAATGATCGTGTGAGATGCATGTGTAAGCCAGATCCTCACGCTCATCTGCCCGATCTGGTTTCGTGGACCCGAAACGCTAAGCCCTGAACCCTGAACCCGAAACCCTAAACCCGAAACCCTAAACCCAACTCGGAACTCTGCCGCACGTCTTGCAGCATGGCCAAGTGGATGCCTGTATGGAAGGCGAAGCAGAGCATCAAGCTCCTGGGATTCGAGCTGAGCCGTCGCGTTCGGTGCCTTGACTGAGGGTTTAGGGTTTAGGGTTTGGGGTTTAGGGTTTAGGGTTTAGGGTTTAGGGTTTAGGGAGCCAGGGGCAGTGGCACTGTGGATCCAGTGTTAACGCGCCCTGAAACTTCAGCAGAAGGAGTAGAAACCCCTAAACCCCAAACCCTTTAGCGGTTTATGAACCCCCAAGCCAAGATTATTCGGGGAACTTGCCGGATTTGACGTTCATGCCGACGCGCCGATATCAAGGTCTTGGCACTTCGCCCTGGTGTTTCCCATCTTCACGCCGGAACAGGGAGCCGCGATGGCAAGCAGAGGGAGTGCGACGAACTTGAACATTAACACAGAAGTGAGTGATCTGTTTAGAATATTCATGTTTATTATTGTTGTATATATATATATATATGTATATGGATGTGCCGAGAGACTGGCAAGCAAGCATATTGACAAAGCTCAGAATACAGTTTAGGCTCGCCTCAGCGGTCAAGATCGTAGATTCGGCGCTCTCGAGTGTTGCCCGAGTCGTGCGGGCCGCACCCAGAAACCCGAAACCATAAAGCCCAAAACTCGAAAAGCCAAGGGAGTTCCCAAAGTCGTAGTACTTAGGGGCTGGGTGGTTAAGCTTTTTGGTTAAAATCCCTCTTACTTTAGGGTTTAGGGTTAGGGTTTAGGGTTTAGGGTTTAGGGTTTAGGGTTTAGGGTTTAGGGTTTAGGGTTTAGGGTTTAGGGTTTAGGGTTTAGGGTTTAGGGTTTAGGGTTTAGGGTTTAGGGTTTAGGGTTTGAGCCAGGGTATTCAGCCCCTAAGAGTAAGTCCACAACAACTCCCAAGGTCCATCCCAACTTCCCCACATAAACCCTGTGCCTCTACTGCTGCCGGTTGAGGGTTTTAGGGTTTAGGGTTTAGGGTTTAGGGTTTAGGGTTTAGGGTTTAGGGTTTAGGGTTTCCCCAAAGTCCCTTGAATCCCTAAGCCCGGAGCCCTGTTCAGCTCAGGTAAGGCTGAGATCAAGGATCCAGAGGCCACGTGGAAGGCGCCTGAAAGCGCTGAGCCATTTCACAGCTGTGTACGACTTCCGTAAATTATGGCCCCTTTTGGGGTCCTCAATTTAGGCCGGGCGCTGTGGTTTTATTTTGTTGATTGTGATTGTGAGATTTTTTATTTTAATGATTAATATTCTTCTTCGTATTTGTATTTTATATCAATGTCTATATATTGTATATTATATATAAGGATCATGTCCATACCATTTAATGATGGTGCACATGTGTGTCGTGCATGTCTTCGGGGAATTTGACGGCTTGTGAAGACCCCACCTGCTTCTGAGTGCAGACGCTTTTCCTCGTGACCGATGACACAGCCTTGCCCACGTTCCCCAAGCCTCTCACCCTGAAGGCTGGGGCTTTCTTTCAATTTTCCGAAGAGCTTGCTGTTCAGCTGCCTGCAAGGCGGTGTGTACACGTGTGTCCCTAAACCCTAAACCCTAAACCCTAAACCCTAAACCCCAAACCCTAAACCCTAAACCCTAATTAAGCCCTGAACCCTAATTAAACCCTGAACCCTGAACCGATGTGTGTGTGCCCCCTCCTCCCTCCGAGGACCTTGTTGACATGGCGTGGTCCAAAGTGTGGGACCTGCTTGAGGGCGCCCATGGCTGCAGCCAGAAGTACCGTGGAGACTGCACGACTGCACTCCGATCCTTGTGGACCAAGTGAACCCTAAAAGGGTTTAGGGCTTAGTTTTGGGTTTAGGGGTTTAGGGCTTAGGGCTGAGGGCTTAGGCTCATATAACCTATCATAGGAGTTAAAGGCAGTAGTATATGGCATATGACCCCAATTTTAGGGTTCGTAATGGGTTTTCTCGTCGCCCTGCATCACCGTAGCCGTAGCCAGCTTCTATTCATGCATGAGAAGAAGAAAAATATTGCAACCGTCATCGAAGATGGAACCAAGGCGTACTCTTTTGGGAAGTATCCCAAGGACCCTCGACCCTAAACCGTAAACGCTTGTGTTCGGATGGTCATGGGCCATAACCAGCCCTTGAGACAACCTCGGAAGTCGAGGGAAGCTTAGGGAGCCTTATTTGGGAGTAGTTGGTAGTGGGGAGTGTGAAGGAACCTTGGGTCACATACCCCCCTTGAACCCCCCTCCCTTAAGAACTTAATCCCTAAACCCTAAACCCTAAACCCTAAACCCTAAACCCTAAACCCTAAACCCCTAAGAACGGTATAGCGACTCAAGGCAGCGGCTACGAGATTCAACAGTTCGAGTCCATTGATGGTGACGAGACGCCGCTGGTCTGAAGGGGTCTCCAACTTCAGTTCCGACGGTGCAAAGGTGCCCCAAAAACCCTAAACCCCCACCTGGGGTTTAGGGTTTAGGGTTTAGGGTTTATAGGGTTTGGGGTTTAGGGTTTCGGGTTTAGGGTTTAGGGTTATGGGGTAGTTCTCTGAATCCTAAACCGCCCCCCCCTAAAAATTCCCTCAATAAGGGGGCCGGGTTCGCCCCCGAGATCCCTCGCACGCCTCAACATTCCCTTGGTATCCCCCTCTTGGCAATAGATGGGTCGTGTCCTAAATCACGTGCCCTGTTTGGCCACCTATGATAAGGCGGCCGTCAAAAAGGGACCTCCAAAAAGGGACCCAAATTCAGAGAACTACCCCATAACCCTAAACCCTAAACCCTAAACCCTAAACCCTAAACCCTAAACCCTAAACCCTAAACCCTAAACCCTAAACCCTAAACCCTAAACCCTAAACCCTAAACCCTAAACCTAACCCTAAACCCTAAACCCTAAACCCTAAACCCTAAACCCTAAACCCTAAACCCTAAACCCTAAACCCTAAACCCTAAACCCTAAACCCTAAACCCTAAACCCTAAACCCTAAACCCTAAACCCTAAACCCTAAACCCTCCCCCCCACGCATCCCCCCCTGGCCGAGGTTCGTGCTTTTCAAAGCAAAAGACATCGATGAGGTGCCACGGCAACGGAGCTAGAGATTCATCACTCACTGCCGGTTTAGGGTTTAGGGTTTAGGGTTTAGGGTTTAGGGTTTAGGGTTTAGCGTCCACCTTAAGAACCCCAAAGAGCCTAATATGTTCTAGGCATCTCTTATGACAAGCGAAAGCCCCGTTTTCAGAGGCCAGAAAAGACACAGTAGGTTCTTAAGGCATGGGGTTTCTAGGGGTCAGGGTTTTGCTGGGCGCTGTTTTGGACTGGTTCAAATACGTTCAGCCCCTAAACCCTAAACCCTAAACCCTGAATACGTTGCTCAGACTAGCAACGACCTCAGCTCTAAGGTCGCGGAGTTTGCGGAGGCACGGCAAGAACGCAAGCTTTCTTCCCTTTTCGGTGGCTGATGTACTCTTGCCTTTGCACCAAAGTGGCTGAGCCCTAAACCCTAAACCCCAAACCCCAAACTCTGAACCCAAAATCTAAGCCTTAAACCTCAATTCCCAAACCCTAAACCCGAAAGCAGGCGAGAGCAAGGTTGAAGCCAGAAACCTACCACAAGGCGATGAAGAAGGAGACCACGACATGATGCCATTCTTGGGATTATAGATGTAACTGAGGTACATCCGTGGGTTTATTTGTTTCAGCAGTCCCTGAACCCTCAGCCCTAAACCCCTAAACCCGAAACCCTAAACCCCAAACCCTGAACCCCTAAACCCGAAACCATAAACCCTAAACCGTAAACCGTAAACTCAACCACATCCCCGAAACAGGGCCACGCTTTGCAGGGCCCTTCAGATCATTTGGGGTTTAGGGCTTAGGGTTGGGTTTAGGGTTTAGGGTCTAGGGTCTAGGGTCTAGGGTCTAGGGTCTAGGGTCTAGGGTCTAGGGTCTAGGGTCTAGGGTCTAGGGTTTAGGGTTTAGGGTTTAGGGTTTAGGGTTTAGGGTTTAGGGTTTAGGGTTTAGGGTTTAGGGGCTTATAGCTCCATATTGCTCCGTATAACTTGATAAGGGTTGTAGCAGAAGTAGGGTATACGATCCCAATTTTCGGGTTCAGTTGGTCTTCAGGGAGGGAGTTTGTAGCACTGCAAGGGGAGCTGCCAGGGGACCTTGGAATCGCAAGATGACATCACACTTAGGGTTAAGGGTTTAGGGTTTAGGGTTGTTTAGGGTTTAGGGTTTAGGGTTTAGGGTTTAGGGTACGCGCAGGAGGGCACGTGCCCCACCGAGACGCGCAATGCCAGCGGTGTCCACGCCTCAGGGATGGCCCGGGCCGGGCAGAAATACTGTAGGGGCCTGAATGGGGTCTAGGGTTTAGGGTCTAGGGTCTAGGGTTTAGGGTTTAGGGTTTAGAGTTTTGGGGGTTATTCTAGTGCAATTATATAGGGGCCCTAAGTTAATGCTAGTAGTAACTTATTCCGGCTGGCCATGGTGCGGTTGGATCCCTTAGGATTGGCATCTTGAAGTATACACGGATGGCCTGGTCCCCGGCGAGAAGATCACCAATGAATTCCCGCACTACGCCACTTGGCTCAGACCGAACTTCTAGTGGCGGTTGACTTGCTTTGAAGTTTTTCCATGCTGTCGTCGGTTGGGGCGACATCATTTGCCAAACTTCATCATCAACTTATAGTGGTGGTTGACTTGCTTTGAGGTTCTCAAGTCTGTGGAGAGATACGAGGCTTCATCCCAGAGCCAGCATGTGCAAACATGCAGATGCAAGAAAGCTCTATGCCACGCATGTTCCGAAAATAGGTGTCCCCGAACTCCAAGCGCCCTCCCTCCCTCCACCCCACCTCCTCCCAGCCCAACCCCGAAAAGGGTTTAGGGTTTAGGGTTTAGGGTTTAGGGTTTAGGGTGTTTTGCCTGCTTATACCCCGGCGAAGAGGACGCTACCTGGGACGCTATTTACCTACAGTTTAGTAGGAGCTACCCTTAATTTGTAAGTAAACCCATAAAACTGTAGGCGAAGAGGGCGCTAAACCCGCAACCCTTCGTTGCTAGTAGAGACCCAGGTTCGCTACACCCGTGCCATTGCCGACAAGGCTCGTGGGCATTTCCCAAAATAGGGGGTTCCCCTGTTATACCCAAACAGAAGAGAATCCCCATTTCCAGGGATCCCCAAGAAGGGCACCCCTATTTTTGGAAACCCCCACTTGTACCTGCGACGAGTTCTGACGATACAAGACTGACTCTTGCTTCTTCACAGCTCGTTAGATGTCAATCAGCTGCATTCCCCTAAGGGTCCATGTACCTAGACAATCCTTGGGCCTTCAAGCACCTCCTATTTCGGGACTTCTCGGGACCCAAGTAGACAAGAATGAGGTACATGGACCCTTAGGGCTACTTCCTTCCTCGCTCTTTTGTGAGGTGGAACCGTTCACCGTGCCAGAGCCAGGGTCTGAGTTGAAGTTCACCGGGGTATTACGTTTCATGGCCTTGTGGGTGGTGCTGCCTCAGCTGCACTTTGGGATGCTCCCCCTTATACTAACAGCCCATAATAGGGATGATCGTACCCCCTATCGTAATCCCTATTAAGGGTCTAGGGTTTAGGGTTTAGGGTTTAAGGTTTAGGGTTTCGGGTTTAGGGCTGTTAGTATAAGGTGGAGAACATCCCAACCTGTACTGGATTAAGGCAGCTGCGCTTAACACGGCGGCACCTGCGCTCGCTTTTCAGCATCGTGGAGATGGAGAAGGAGGGGGGAAAGAAACAAAGTGCAGAGTTTAGGGTTCAGGGTTTTAGGGTTTAGGGTTTAGGGTTTAGGGGAGCTCCTTTGGGAACTAATGAACCCTAAAAAGGGTTTAGGGTTCATACACCTTAGTAGGAATTATAGTAGTCAGGGTATATTCCCCCCAATTTTAAGGTTCATTTGGTTGTGTGCTCTGGAGTGTCTTACCGTGAGGGTTCAAGGACTCTTATTGGGTGCTGCTTTTGGCTTTTGTTGGGTAGTCTGGGCCCGTGTAGCAGGGCAGAACGGTTGGATGTTTGAAGCGCGACGGGGACTCTTATTTAAGGGCTCTTGGGCCCAAAGGCCTTCTTGCATAGGGTTTTTGGGCTGTTTTGAGCCTTAGGGGTTCATGGAGCCTGCCAGCAACTTAGAGCAGCCGTGTGTCGCCATCCCTTGCAACCCCAAACCCTAAACCCTAAACCCTAAACCCTAAACCCTAAACCCTAAACCCTAAACCCTAAACCCTAAACCCTAAACCCTGCAGCTGGGCGTCATCTCGAAGTTCTTCCCGCTCCATGAGTGGGAGAAGCTCGACCGGCTGTTCAACAGGCCGGTTTGGGTTTAGGGTTTAGGGTTTAGGGTTTAGGGTTTAGGGTTTAGGGTTTAGGGTTTAGGGTTTAGGGTTTAGGGTTTAGGGTTCATGGTTTAGGGTTTAGGGTTCAGGGTTCAGGGTTTAGGGTTTAGGGTTTGGGGGGCCCCTTCTTCTTCCTGTTGGTCAGCAGGGAATGGGGGAATGAGGTCTACTTCCCTCATTCCCTACTAACCAACAGGAAGCCCTGGGAGGAGATGGGGTAGTGCTGCAACTGCTTCTGCTGTTGTCGGTCAAAAGCGACAGACTCCCCGTTTTAAAGCTCTTGAAAAGAGACCCTAAACCCTACACCCTAAACCCTAAACCCTAAACCTTAAACCCTAAACCCTAAACCCTAAACCCTACACTCAGAAGGGCCAGCCCGAAAGCCCCCGGAAGGAGGAGGTAGGCCCCGCGTACGGGCTTGAGCTTGGGCTCAGGGCAAGGCATGGCCAAATGGCTTGGAGAGTCATGCTTGGCATTTGGGGGAAGAGCTGCGGGGTCTTAAGATTTTTTTGGTGTTTAGGGTTTAGGCTTTAGGCTTTAGGCTTTAGGGTTTAGGGTTTGGGGATGTTTGGGCTTTCCGAGAGACAAAAAGGCCCCCTGGGCTGTGGGAGACGTCCTTTCATGGGCACCAGAGGGTTTAGGGTTCAGGGTTTAGGGTTTATGGTTTAGGGCAATCTACGGCTGAACTCTATAGAAACCTGATTCCTGAGCCCTGAATCCCTAAGCCTAAACCTCCCAAACCCTACACGCAAACCCAAGACGCCCTAACCCTAAACCCGCTAACTCCTAATCCCTGAGCCCTAAACCCTTAACCCTTAACCCTAAACCCTAAACCCTTAACCCTAATCTTCCTTATGAGGGGCTGGAGCAACCCGGGCCCCGCTGCTTTGGCGGAATGGCCCACTGAGCACCTTGGCAACTTAGGGTTCAGGGCTTAGGGTTTAGGGTTTAGGGTTTAGAGTTTAGGGTTGAGAGGAGGCATGTGGAGGGGTGTCCAGGCCTTCGGGGCTCATAAGGGGTTTAGGGGCTTAGGGCTTGTAAAGAGTTCAAGGGATCGGGCGTTCCTAAACCCTCTTTATGGGGCTTCCTATGGCTTGTTTTCGGGATGCCCTGTTTTGGGAAATGCCACGGTTACCACGTACCTCCTGCCCACGAAGATGCTCTCCAGTGCAAGGTGATCTAGACAACGGGTCCGCGTGATGCTTAGGCCAGATGTGCACACCCGCCTTGTAAACGAGGTGCTATCCCACTCACCACAGACTTTCTGCATTGCACAAATCCAAATGCGAAAATAGGCACGAACACAAAGCCGCGACATGCCTGCCGGATGGGTCAGTTGAAGATTCACAACACGCCAAGTGGAGATCTACCACAGCTAGCTGTCATAAAGCAGACGCTGATGCTTCAGGTCAGCAAACTGACAGTCACAGAATGGACAAACCGAACCACGCAGGGCGCTAGTGAAGTTTTTTCGTCTCACGAGTCGAGAGAAGTTTTTCCCAAAAACCCCTCGGGGGTTGGGTTCTCCATTAAGTCTTCAAACGGGCGGGTCGCGATGCGCGGTGCGGCGCGGCAGGCAAAGGCGGAAAGGACTTCACCGACCACTCAACCCCGTGGGGCGGGGGGTTTTATTTGCAGGGAAGGGGTGGGCTATTAAGCCTCGTACTCCCCTAACCCTATACAGGGCCTTTTCAAGCATCCCGCAGCATCCCCTCCATCCCCCCACACATAGCAGCACAAGGTGAAACGTGCTTGACTGGCTTCGTTCGGAAGAAAGGCCACAGCACCCTTAAGGACGCGCTTCTAATGCCAAAACACGTCCGAATTTCATGCGAACGTCGCCCTCTTTTTTTGAGTTTTGCAGAAGGCTCTCCAACCGACTGCCATCTGCTACATAGCGCTTTTGCAGTTGTTTTGTATTATTCCTTTGGGGACTACATGAACACTGAAAAGGGTTTATGGTTCATGTACACTAGTAGGAATTATCGTAGTCAGGATAGATGGCTCCGGCTCCAATTTTTGGGTCCATTTTTGTGACCCATTGATTTGTTCATTGACGCGTTATGACGCACACACACTGATTGAATACACCGCTGTCTGAACCCCAAACTCCAACACGGAGATGCTGAGGAGCACACCTGCGCATAGAAAACCCTAAAACCCTAAAACGCTAAAACCCTAAAACCCTAAAACCCTAAAGCCCTAAACCCTACATCAACCAGGGTGGGGCGGGGGGCGGTTGCGGCAGGGACCCTAAACCCTAAACCCTAAACCCTAAACCCTAAACCCTAAACCCTAAACCCTAAACCCTAAACCCTAAACCCTAAACCCTAAACCCTAAAAACCCTAAACCCTATAAACCCTAAACCCTAAACCCTAAACCCTAAACCCAAACCCCTAAACACCAAGGCACGTCTCGGATGTTGTGGCGCAGTACACCGGAAGCCGCATCGCCTTCTTCTTTCACTTCTATGACGTCTTCACCAGGCTACTGTGTTCCCCTTTGGGAAGGGTTTAGGGTTTAGGGTTTAGGGTTTAGGCTTAGGGATAAATAAAACCCAACAGGACATTAAACATATTCTTTCACTTCTATGACGTCTTCACCAGGCTAGGGGTTTAGGGTTTCGGGTTTTCGGGTTTGGGTGTTTCGGGGTTTAGAGGTTATAAGGGTTTAGGGGCTCACGAGAGCAGAGAGAGAGAGCGCGTGAGGAAGTAGCCGAGGATACGCGGGATCGGGGCGCGCAGTAGCGCGGGGGTTTACCCCCATGCCCCCAAGAAAGAAAGAGCGAGAGAGACAGACAGACAGGCAGGCAGACAGACCAGACCGACAGACCGACGGAAAGACCCACGGACAGACAGACACAGGCAGCCAGGCAGACAGAGAGACAACCCAAAAAACACACGGACACGCGGACACACGCACTCGCACGCCGGCACGCTTAGAGACACGCGGAGACACGCAGAGATTGGCCAGAGAAACGCAGAGACAACGACGCGCGGACAATGACATACCGACCGAACACCGACAAGATAGCCCAAGCCATCCCATCCAGTAGGTTTAGGGTTTAGGGTTTAGGGTTTAGGGTTTAGGGTTTAGGGTTTAGGGTTTAGGGTTTAGGTAAGGGTTTAGGGTTTAGGGTTTAGGTCCAGAGTTTAGGGTGTAGGGTTTTTTGAAGTGGTTCTCCACGCAGAGCGCTCTACTGCAGAATCTTTGAACCGAGTTGGCATGCTCACTCACATCTCACGAGTTGCAAGGCAAGGAGAGTTCAGGTTTCCGAGACCCCCTATAACTCGAAGGAACCCTAAACCCTAAACCCTAAACCCTGTTTTTTGGGGATCTTCTGGCCCTCAGGCAACTCCTTTCTTCTTAAACCCTTCTTTTCGGGGGAGAGCGGTGGTGGTGAGGGGGGCCCTGAACCCTAAACCCTAAACCCTAAACCCCGAAGACCCCGATCCCCGCAGACTTTTCCTTGATCTGAGGTGGATGTGCGTCCCCGGATTGTTGGGCCTCTGCGTCCTCATCTACTCGTTCATCTTCCCTGGTGTGGATAAAACGGACCGAAGAGAAACCCTAAACCCTCAAGGGTTCACGGTTTAGGGTTTAGGGTTTAGGGTTTAGGGTTTAGGGCCCCCCCCGAAGCCACCCTAAAACCCACCCTTCGTTGAGCGCAGATGACCGCCCCACGCGTTGCCCAAATGAACCCAACAAAATTTGACCATATCCCCCCAAAACTACAATCATTCCTACTAAAGTATATGAACCCTAAACCCTTTTAGGGTTCATTTGGTCCCCAAGACTACTATCATTCCTACTAAGGTATATGAACCATAAACCCTTTTGGGGTTCATTTGGTCCCCAAGGTTTCCCCCCCATGCTCTGGCTCTCATCTTTGTGGCATACGGCGTCGGAAGTGCCGGAGAGCCATACGCTTAGTTCGTTTCATTCCTCCCAATCCATTAGGACCAGTTCTGAACCCCTAAACGTTTAGGGTTTAGGGTTTAGGGGTATGGTCCATATACCTGAATAGGAATCTAGGACCCGGAGTAGGCCCCTATTTCCTTTTTCTAGAAGAGGCTCAAAATTTCGGAATCTTCTTAAGAGAGCTTTAAAACCCTAACGCCCTGAAACCCTAAAACCCCCTAAAATCCCTAGAAAAACCCTAAAGCCCGCTGGTGAGGAGAAGGTGGTGAAGAGCATCTACGGCTGTTTGATTTGCATCTGGGCCACGGTCTTCTTGGCCCCTGGGCATTTTTGGAAGACGCGGCAAAGTTCAACGGGCTCAAGGTGGTTGTTCTGAGCTTCTGTTGTTTGATATTATATATATATAATACATATACATATTTCTGAGTTGAGTTTCTTAAATACATATATATATATATACATGTATATATATATATATATATCTCTCTCTCTCTCTCTCTTTTGTGTTCTTCTTTTTTTTTGGGGGGGGGGTGGTACCCCTAAGCCGCAAGGCCTCTGTAGACGGGTGGCACACCCTGAGGCCCGCCATGAGCAGCTGATGAACATGAAGCTGCTCGGCTTTCATGAACTTTAGGGGAGGGGAGTTCAAGGGTTTAGGGTTTGGGGTTTGGGGTTTAGGGTTTGGGGTTTAGGGGGTTAGGGTTTAGGGGTTTAGGGTTTAGGGTTTAGGGTTTAGGGTTTAGGGTTTAGGGACGGGGCTTCAAGAGGGGTAGCTACCTAGCCTTGGGGGAGTAGTGGGGAGTATTTTGGGATCTTGGGTTACATACCCGCCTTGGACCCCCCCGTCCCTTAAGAACCCTATAACTCCCTTGGGGACGAAATGAACTCCAAAAGGGTTTATGGTTCATATACCTCAATAGGAAATATATTAGTCAGGCTATATGTCCCCAATTTTAGGGTTCATTTCGTCCCCAAGGTCTGACGTACTAGCACCGGATCGCCTTGTGTTGCGCATCATGGAAGTCAGCATGCAGCTGCACCAAACCTTTTCTGGCATTTCGGAAGCCCTAAACTCTAAATTTAAACCCTAAACCCTAAATTTAAACCCTAAACCCTAAACTTAACCCTAAACCCTAAACTTAAACCCTAAACCCTAAACTTAAACCCTAAACCCTAAATTCAAACCCTAAACCCCAAACCCGAGGAAGGTTCGCTGGGGGCTGTCGGGCGCCGTGAGCGAAGTTGCTAACGCGGCACGGGCCGCACGGAGCTCCGATTCTCCCCTCTCTCTCAGAGCTTTGAGGGTTTAGGGTTTTGGGTTTTCGGTTTAGGGTTTGGGGTTTAGTTAGGGTTTGGGGTTTAGGGCTTAGGGTTTGGGGTTTAGGTTTTAGGGTTTGGGGTTTAGGGTTTCTTGGCAACTCTGTGGGAGGGACCACATGAACCTTAAAATTTGGGGTCGCATGCCCTATGCTATTCTACTCCCGCTTAAGGTATGTGGACCATAAACCCTTTCCGGGTTCAGTTAGTCTAAACCCCAAACCCTAAACCCTAAACCGGTCTGTGGGAGGGACCATCTGACCTACATTGTCATTGTCTGGATTATGGCTCCCGTAAGGTAACAAAGAACATCATTGATTCTGAATTTCTATCGTTTCTATTGAAGCGAGTATTGCTATTATTCCTGATTTAGCAAACAAAGAAGATAATTGTTCATCCTTGATTCTGAATTTCTATTGTTGCTAGTATTGCTATTATTCTTTTTTGCTAATACTTTTGCAATAAGATTGGTGCACTGCACAAGGATCAGGACTAGGACACACTACAATATCATCATCACTATCACGGGAACTATCACTATCACTATGACTATCACTATCACTATCACTATCACTATCACTTTCACTTTCACTATCATCACCATATGCAGTTGTTAATTGAAGAACAAACGAGTAGGACAATTCCATCCAGACTTCGTCCTTTTTTGTTGATGCGTTGTTCCCTAAACCCTAAATCCTAAACCCTAAACCTTAAACCGTCAACCCTAAACCCTAAATCCTAACCCCCCTTTTTGTGGTGGGGGGGGGGAGGCATCCCTGGCTGGGGTTTTGGGTTTAGGGTTTAGGGTTTAGGATTTAGGGTTGAGGGTTTAGGGTTGAGGGTTTAGGGTTTAGGTTTAGGGTTTAGGGTCCAAGGTCCGGCGCCAGTTCAGCGACGCCTACCGCGGCACCGTACAGGAGGGCCTGCAGAATCTTGGGGACGAAATGGACCCTAAAGTAGGGGTCATAGGCCCTGGTTTAGGGTTTAGGGTTGAGGGTTTAGGGTGACTACTTCAATTCCTATTAAGGTATAGTATGAACCATAAACCCGTTTAGGGTTCTTACTTCTTGTCCCCAAGGAATCTGGAGCACTGGATCCCAAAACCCTAAACCCTAAACCCTAAACCCTTAACCCCAAAACCTAAACCCTAAACCCTAAACCCTAAACCCAAGGAATCTGGGGCACTGGATCCTGGTGTTCCTGGTGCTGGGCCAGTTCGTTTGGGTCCTCTTCACCCTGAACGGTGCCGGCCCTACAGTTCGACCGCCACAAGAACTGGGTGTAGGGTTTAGGGTTTAGGGTTTAGGGTCTAGGGTCTAGGATTTAGGGTTTAGGGGGGGTTTAGGGGTTTCGGGTTTAGGGTTTCGGGGGGAGGGGGGGGGGGGGTACTCGAGGCAGGGATCACCAGAAATTATTGGGGGGGGGGGGGGGTGACCAACAACAAGAAGTCTTTTGTAGAAGGGAGACAGGAAGGAAAAAAGGAAGGAAGGGAAGGGAAGGGAAGGGAGACCAGAAGTAGGGAGGAAACGGAAGGAAGAAAGAAAGGCCACTGGCATAACCTTACACAGGGCTCTGTTGTGCATAGGCTTCAAATAATCGGCTCCAAGAAGTACTTGGGGTTTAGGGTGTAAGTTTAGGTTTAGGGGTATTTGCACGCGGCCACAACAGAATCCGAAGCCTTGCGGACCGCCTGCCATTCGGGGAAATTTGTGTCAAATGAGGTGGAGGAGTGCGGGTCGGGGGGGGGGGGGGGGGGGTGAGAGGGGTGGGAGGGTTGGGGGGGTGGTGCTGGGTGGAGGCTTTGCCTATAGGCCTACCTTGGAAAGACCCACATGAATCCGCAGCTCAACTATGGACTTTCTCCAAGGACTTCGCCATGTCGCGCACGAGAACCCTGATGGCAAAACGTTCGAGTTCATTCCTAACGAATACGTCATCATTGGGACCAAGTACCTCATCACCATCAACATCAAGGTCTGCTGTTTCCTTGAACGTTTAGGGTTAGGGTTCAGGGTTTAGGGTTTAGTCAGAGGTGAGCATGATAGGCTTCTCCTTGTCCGCCTATGACTCGAACCTCTCAAAGGTGGCACGAGCATTTGCCACGATTGTCTGGTCCTAAACCCTAAACCCTAAACCCTAAACCCTCCACAGCTGTCCTCGCCTTTCAAGGGCTAACTCAGCGAGCAGCAAGAGCACTTGCCAAGGATGGCGTAAGTCTGAGGTCCAAGCCAAACACAAAGACACGCAGAGCTGTCCAGAAGACACCCGTTGCGATTCAAGACCGGAACAGAGGGGTTTGTTTATGAACAGGTTTTTTTTCTTAAATCGCTGTTTACTACGCTTACCGCTCCATCGTCTCCCTGACATGCAGCGAAAAGAGTCGTGCCCTCACCCTAAACCCTAAACCCTAAACCCTAAACCCTAAACCCTAAACCCTAAACCCTAAACCCTAAACCCTAAACCCTAAACCCTAAACCCTAAGCTGCCACCTGGCAGGTTGTGGACTTTGGGTGGACTCTACTTTCGACTTGGCTCAGCAAGAAGGCCTCTGCCCCACGTTGCGACAGCACCCTCTGGGATGAGGGATCAAGGGACTGTAAACCCTAAACCCTAAACCCTAAAAACCTCAAACCCTAAACCCTCATTCCCAGCTACGATAAGAAACAAGCCGGAGCTCCAATTGTTGCCGCAGGAAAACCACCGTGCTGAAATGGACTTGAAGTCGGCTATGGCGGCCCGGCTGCAGCTTTTGTAGCCCTCAGGACCCACGAACCCTAAACCCTAAACCCTAAACCGGTTTGTGAGCCTCTGGTTTACAAGCGTTAAGTTTGCCACTGCGGTATAGTTGTACCCTAAGGGTCCATGTACCTCTGTAGCATATACTTGGGCCTTAAAGGGTTTCCATATAGTGGCTTTAGGGCCCAAGTCTATACTATATAGGTACGTGGACCCTTAGGGGTATAAGAATGTTCCAGAGTACGTAAGATGGTGACGAGCCAGCAAATGGCAAGCACTGTTGGCCGCAGACCAAGTCCTGTAGAGAGAGCCTTCTTCCTTTTGTTGCCGGGTCAGGCTGTGAAGCTCTTTGCCGTAAAGTTCGTGATCTTCTACTACCCTTTCGCTCGGCTGCTGATGCTTGGACTTCATACGTCCAAATCCAATCTGAGTGCTTCTGAAGACGCAAGGAAAACTCATCAGTTGCCCCGATATAGGCTCGCGCAACGTATACATGGGTGGTTGTCAAAATGACGGTCCCTTTTTGGGATCCCTATGATCATCCGGCACCTAATATTTGGGTACCCTAAAAGGGATCATGAGTTTGACAACCACCCAAATGTCAAGGTGTGGCCATGTGCCCGAGTGCAGGACTGACCCACGATCTGATACAGGGGCAGCTCTTACTCTAAACCGCCTAAACCCTCAACCCTACACCCTACATCCTAAACCGAACCTGGGACCCCATATACCTACGACCTTATGGATTATGCCTACTAGTTAAGGGGTAGTTGGTACTAAACTGTAGGTAAATAGAGTCTCAGGTAAGCCACCCCTCAGCCCTCAACCCTAAACCCTAAGCCCTAACCCCTAAACCCTAAACCCCTTTGCAATCACAGACGGGCCTGGTCATCCGAGGCTTATCCAGCCTTACCTGGAGGAAGGGTGCCCCAAAGCAGGACCGTCATACCTGAAAGCCCAAGAGCATGAAAGAATCTGCAGTTCAGGGTTTAGGGTTCAGGGTTTCATCCATCCGCAGAACGTACAGTCGAGCCCCCCCCCCCCCCCACGAGTTACAGGATGTGTCGAAGTGCTGAGGGCAGACTTGCGTGTCTTCTTCATCACACAGGTGCGCGGGTGCCTTCCAGCAAGCACAGAGCAGCGCTTAACTCGAGCTCTTGAAGCGAGACATCCGACCACCGTGGCTTCCCTACAATCCCCAAGAATAGGAGCCCACAGCTTGTCTCGAAGGTGGCATCTTTGGTTGTGGAGAATATCGTCGCCCTGGCCCTACTGAAGTGGAGCATGCGAACCGAGATCATGAACAAGGAACAGCGACAGCGACGCCCGGCTGCAAGCACGACCACGAACGGGTTTGCGCTTCCAGTAGCCAACGCTGGTCCATGATGTCCGTTTTCGCACTGTGTCCTCTGGTACTAGACTGCCAGGCGCCTGTTCCCATTCAACTGAATGATGCTGAATTGCACGTGTTTCACCATGAACCTCCATGAACAGCCCAAAGATTTTCCCACTCGCATGCAAGGAACAGCAGAAAGCTCCGGCGAAGGGCCCAGTGGGTTTGGCAGGGGTATGTTGCCCTCAGAGGTCTCATCCTGCCTCTACTGCAGACAACGAATACCAGCGAATCTGTTCAACTCTATGTGACAGTTAAACTCTCCCTGCTGAAGTTACTCTCTCTGAGAATGGGGAGGCATATCGGAAACATATCAACGTCAAAACCGCGGCTCCAAGATTTTCCAGTATCTTCAACAGTTGCCAGGTTTTCTGAAAGAATACCACAAATTTCAAGAGTATTTCAAAACATTCTAAAACACTCATTTCAACTCATGCGGGGCTACTTTTCCCACATCTTCAGAAGAAAGTTTCAAGTGTTCATTCCTTCCTGAAGCTTTCAACCTGAACCCCCTGTCGGTTTCAGGATGTCTGGAGTGGACAGGGGTTTGGGTACATGTCCTGTGAATATACTAAGTATAAAAATAGTTGAATTACAGAATAAAAAATGTATCTATATATACATATATACATACACAGTCTGTATGTATAATTGCATGTATCATGTCCGGTTTTCCTTTATAGATATTATATATATATATTGATATGTGCTATCCCCCCCCCTCCCATGCGCCCGTTTGTTTATCATGTTTTTTGTATACAAAACACAGCACAAAGACTCCATTTTCACAATTTCCTTGCTGCCGAGACATCTCGAGGGCCCCTGCCGGTGGCCGTTTCTTCCTCACAGCGTAGCAGAACGTTCGAGAATACTCCTTGGGGACGAAATTAGCCCCAAAAGGGTTTAGGGTTCATATACCTTTTCAGGAGTTATAATTGTATAGGGCATATGACCCTCAATTTTTGGGGTTCATTTCGTCCCCAGGGCTGTGAGCAAATACCTCAGAACGCCTTATAGTCATAAGCCAACTAACTTAGTAGCTGAATGAGCACACTTTACACCTTTTGGGGTACTATAACCCTAAGGGTCCATGTACCTCATTATTGTGTACTTGGGCCCAAAAGTCCCTAAATAGGAGGTACTTTAATGGACAAGTATTCCCTATTTAGGTACATGGACCCTTAGGGTAATCCCCTATAGAACTGAAAGTGTACACTTTTTTGGGGCTTATGAACTCAGCAACTAAGATAATGAAGGACAGCTACTGAGGCCCTGATGTGCCGTTCTAATTCTCCGTATCAAGGGACACTTAACTGAACTAAACCATGTCTTCAAAGGATTGCTGTGTAACTTGTTGAGTTATGGAATTTAATGTGTAATGTGACCCTCAACCCCAAACCCTAAACCTTAAACCCCTGGTCGTCTCAAACTTGCATCTAGATCCGACCACTCCACTGGTTCAAGGTTCAGCCCGTGCTTTTCATCTTCAAGGCTCTGCAAAAACCCAGGGCCCCTATTTAATTTTCCTCGTGCAATGCAAGGCCAAGCCGCGCCGGACAAGCTGTCCTACATCGAGGTGCAGGCAAGATGGGAAGATGGGAGCTCTCAACGTCTTTGGCCAAATGCAGTGAATTCCAAGAAGATGGAACATCCTTATCCTCATACCCCAAAGGGTCAGCTCCAAATAATCTTGAGTCATGTTCCAACTTCCTGGAGTTTACTGTAAGCCATATCAAGCGAGGGATACTGTAGGGCCAACAGAAGGGGCTTGCGCTTAGCAGCATGCCTATGACACCTGGCGTCATTGCACTTAAGGCGATGCTCTCCGAGTACGATGAAACCGAGGACTGCTACCGAGAGTGCCCCGCTCTCATCGTAGCCATAACCCGTCCAGCTCGAGGGGGCTCTTAAGTGGCTTTCGGACAAAGAATTCAGGCCATAAAGTCTGTTAAGTGACATTCCAGGCAAAGAAATTCGCCCCTTAACCGCAAAATACCCTCAAAGCCTCTGAGGTGACCTTCCGAACAAAGACAGAAGAACCGCGCTCCACAAGCATTTAAGAGTCACGTTTGCGACCTCACATGGATGTTCCCCAAAAGGGGGTAGCCCTAAATATATTCCGAAGTACTATAGTCCTTATATTCCTCATTATGGGAACCCCCAAAACAGAAACGGTGTATTCGCCCAAACGCAGAAGCATAGCTCTTTCTGGAGCACTCAGTCATCAACCCAGACGAACCCTAATTAAGCCCTAAACCCTAAACCCTAAACCCTGACAGACGATGGCAGGAGATCACCCAGTACATGCAAGTTGTGACCAACTTTGGCTTCGTCACCATGTGGCCCGGACAGTATGATGTTGTGTCCCAGCGGTTTGGGGTTTAGGGTTTAGGGTTCAGGGTTTAGGGTTTAGGGCTTCTGCTGTAGCTACTGCCATGCCTCTGTCTCTGCGGACCAGGGTCGTAAAGGTTTCAGGACATTCCAAACTTTTTGGGGGGATGCCGAACCTTGGGGACGAAATGAAAGGACCCCTGAACCGGGGGGGGGGGGGGGGGTTAGGGTTTAGGGTTTGGTATTTGGGGTCTAGGGTTTAGGGTTTAGGGTTTTTGGGGACGAAATGAACCCCCCAAAATTGGGGTCACATGCCCTGACTACTATACTTCCTCGCAAGCTAATGTGAGCCAGAAACCCTTCGAAGGGCTCTCAGCCGTTCCAGCAGTTTCTGGCAAGTGCCACAGGCTTCAAGGGGCACCAGGGAAGTGCACAATGTGTTGGCTTTTTGGCCCAAAAACAGTAATATCCAAAAAACAAATAGCTAGAAAAAAAGAAGGGCGCGAATGGTTGAGAAGGCCCCCTTTTGTGAGGTAGAACTGATTTACATCATAAGGGTTGACTCATCAGACGTCAGAAGCAAGTACTGTAACTATGGCAGTGTCCAAGGTTCTGACAGCACGTCAGCTAGCACGTCAGCCACCTTCATGTCGCATGTTTCCTTCCAGAATAGCACCAGAATCAAATACATAATATGAATATTGACATAATTTTTGATACAAAGTATCTTGCATCTTGCTCAAGATGCAAGATGCAAGATATCATCATAACACTCATATCAGTAAATATAGTCAAAATTTGCAAAACCCTAAACCCTAAACCCCAAACCCCAAACCCTAAACCTGAGGTTTGGATGCCTTTGCCCTTCCGTCAGCTTGCTTTGCTTCCTCGCCAACTTCCCCATCAAGAAGTTGACTGCCTTCAAGCTACCTGGCTTGCCGACTCCTGAACCACAAGCCCCAACCCACAAGAGTCACCTAAGAGAGGCCCCTAAACCCTAAACCCTAAACCCTAAACCCTATACCACCAGTCTAGCGATTTGAAGTTATGTTCATGACAATGGTGGCCTTACCCGCACAACCGATGCTGCGAGCCTTCCAAGGACTTTCGGTTTAGTGTTTTTAGGCTTTAGGGTTTAGGGTTTCGGGTTTAGGGTTTAATTAGGGTTTAGGGCTCAAACAAGGCACGCAAGAGTCCACCCTTGTCCCGAAAACGTGTCCGTGCATGACAAGAAGTTCGAATAGTGTAGGGGTCGGAATGATTACTACTAGTATTCCCTTGAGGTCCCTGTATAAATACATTATCAGAACCTCTCAAAACCCTATTCGAATTATTCAGGCCCCTAGATTAGGTCCCGATGAGCCCCCGAGGGGACGTTCTTGAGGTCCTCTTCCATGTTGCCTCTTTCCAAGATCTCAAAGTTCTACGCCCTAAACCCTAAGCCCTAAACCCTAAACCCCAAACCCCAAACCGAAACCCCTAAACCTCCGACATCCGGGACGCAAGGTTTGCTTATGCCCTGCGGCGAGTGATGCCAATGACGCAGGCATGCTTCGAGCTCTCAAGCCTTGCGCGTGCGTTCTGGTACCCAGTGTACGCCGCAACCTGTACCCAAAGGAACTCTCAACGGATTTGATGGTTCACAATACCTGAACAGGAATTCAGTAGTACATGGTATATGAACCCAAGTTTAGGGTTCGTGAAGGTCTGGAGGTACCATGGCTGTCTCCCCCGACTCTGTGGCAACAGCATGTGCAATCTTTCAGTTTTGGGACCTATGTTCTTACCATGCCCATGTGTCACAGTACACGAGGCCTTGACTGACTGACTTGGTCCGCAAGGTAAGCTAGGTCGGCCTCCAGGCAACTACAAGTGCCCAGCGCCAAGACCAAACTCTCAGCCGAAGTGAGCACAGAAACCCCGGTGCATTTTCGTGGCTTGCATCCCTGGTTCGCGCTCTCAAACCCTACCATAAATGCCTAAAAACCTGTGGGTGGTGAGCGATGAGGGCGTGGGCACTGGAGCCCTTTAGAAATCCGGAATGCAGGGCTGGCAGCATGAGGGGGTAGGGGCGGCGGGTGGCTAGGGGGTGGGGGCAGAGGCGGGACCCATCAACCCTATACCTTAAACCCTAAACCCTGAATCCTAAACCTAAACCCTAAACCCTAAACCCTATAATTCCGACGGGTGGAGGATGGGATCGGCTCCTGGGCGGCCATCATGCACTTCGTGGGCTTCATTGGCATCACCATGACCACCTACAGCGCGTCTTGGGAAGGAATGCGTATGCTGTTGGTTAGCAGGGAATTGAGGGAACTAGGGCCCTAGATGTGTATAGATAAATAAATATATATATATATATATATATATATGTATATATGTACCCTTTAAGGGATTAGGAGGGGATTGTTTAGGATTTAGGTTTTAGAGGAATGCGTTTAGAGAGATGGGCCATTGGCAGTTTGCGTTTGGAGGACAGGTATCTTGAACAACTACCGTGCTGACATGTATTACACCAACTGCCAGTCATTGCAAGTTGAGAGGGGTAACCCTAGCCCCTAAACCCTAAACCCTAAACCCTAACCCCTAGCCCCTAAACCCTAAACCCTAACCCCTAAACAACCAGGTGGTCTTCCACTACGACACCTTCGAAGGTTCCTCCATGCTCATGAAGTTGATCGCCTTCGTCCTGATTGAGAGGGTTCCCCGGCCGCCTCCAGGGGGGGTGGGGTATGTGGATAAGGATGTTGCAAGTTTCTGGGTTTTGCTCTACCCCACACTACTCTATCTCACAATGCACCCTATACTACGAACAATTCCTGTGAAGGTATTGTTGCTATGAACCTCATACTACCACAGCCATTCCTATTGAGATATGTTACTACTATAATGCCTTTTAAGGTGCTATGAACCATGACAACCTTTTAACCCTAAACCCTAAACCCTAAACCCTAAACCCTAAACCCTAAACCCTAAACCCTAAACCCTAAACCCTAAACCCTAAACCCTAAACCCTAAACCCTAAACCCTAAACCCTAAACACTAAAACCCTAAACCCTAAACCCTAAACCCTAAACCCTAAACCCTAAACCCTAAACCCTAAACCCTAAACCCTAAACCCTAACCCTAAACCCTAAACCCTGAACCCTAAACCCTAAACCCTAAACAGGGGTCTGCGGCCCAGGGCCTCATCGCCCTGAAGATCGCTGTGGAGGGCTTCCTGGGTAACAAGACGGTGGTGCCCCTTGGCGCAGTGGAACCGTGAATCGGCACAGATGCGGATCAGAACCCATCAATGACCTTTACACAGGGTTTAGGGTTTGGGGTTTAGGGTTTAGGGTTTAGGGTTTAGGGTTTAGGGTTTAGGGTCAGGTCAAGATATATGGGGGGGGTTTCCGAGGTAGGGGTACCTTCTTGGCGTCCTCATCCCAAGTGAATGCTACTATTTGGGGGATACAGTATACACATTTCTATTCAAGCTAACTAGGATGCCCAGTAGTACCCTTATTCCCTTTTTGGGGGCTTTAGGTTCCCTTCTGAACCCCTTTAAGCAAAAAAAGGGCACCCTTTTTAAGCCTTGGTTACTGGGCAGCCTAGCTAATGCTAGCCTCAATTCAGCGATCCTCGCTCTGGCCCCCATGGATAGTCTTGCAAGGCTTAAGTATGGTTTAGGGCCTATACTCCCACCCCAAACCCATGCTTTCTTCAGGGTGTTTTCCCTTCTAGAAATTCGTTGAATTTCTACTATCCACCCCAAACCCGTGCTTTTTTCCTAGGAGTTCAGATTCCTGGGGATTTTTTTTTTCGGACTTGGGTTTCAGGGTGTTTTCCCTTCCAGAAATTCGTTGAGTTTCTACTATCCACCAGACCTGTGACGCAGGCATCCAGCATAGACATCGAAGATAGCATCTTACAGTATGAAAGTGAAGAGTCGCGGTAAACTCCAAAACCCCTTGATTCAGGAATATCCCTTAAACTATAGTAGGAACCCGAGTATGATTGCGGGTATGTTCCTCAATTCAGGGGTGTGGGAGTCTTTGGGAATGCATCCCAACCCTCAACCTTGAACCTTGAACCTTGAACCCTAACTAAACCCTAAACCCTAAACCCTAAACCCTAAACCCTAAACCCTAAACCCTATTTATAAACCCTAAACCCTAAACCGTGTGCGAGCTCCGCCTCGAGGCAGAAGCGCGTGGAGGAGTACAACGAGTCGGTGGGGGGGGGGGGGGGGGGGGGTGGATTAGGGTTTAGGGTTTAGGGTTTAGGGTTTAGGGTTTAGGATTCAAGGATGAGTGGTGGACTCAGAGAGGAAACGCCCCAAAAAGCGGAAGCAGCACTGCCTGCAACGTCTGTCAGCCTGCTAGAAGGGTGCTCAGAATCCAAGGGTCTGTTGATTTTGTCCTTGTTCGGAAGGTCATCGACAAAGTGATCCCGCGCATTGCGCCACTGGGATGAATGGTCGAAAGCAGGAGAGCAAAAGAGAGACCCCAAACGCTCCAACTGGGGTGATGTCCAAGGATCAGCAAGACAGCCCCTAAACCCTAAACTCTAAACCCTAGACCCTAAACCCTAAAACCTAAGCTACACCCTAAACCCTTGTATTTTTCCAAAAGGGCAAAGCAACATGTTATGACATGTCGACAAAGCACGGCTCGGAGATGCGAGAGAAGGCACGATTCAGAGACATAGGGAGATCCCGGCCTTAAAGCGACCCTAAACCTCAGAGCCCCCAAGGATTCCTACACCCTCCCCCTGAACCATCCTGAACCCTAAACCCTAAACCCTAAACCCTACACCCTAACCCTAAACCCTAAACCCCAAACCCCAAACCCTAAACCCTAAACCCTACCCCTAAACCCTAAACCCTAAACCCCAAACCCTACACCCTCAACCCTACAGAGCTCCAGGATGCCCCTGGGCTGTTGTGAGTTTAGGGTTTAGGGTTTAGGGTTTAGGGTTTAGGGTTTAGGGTTTAGGGTTTAGGGTTTAGGGTTTAGGGTGCCCCTGTGAGGTCCCAGAAAAGGAACTCGGACGGAGCGAATCAGTCCAAGAAGCCGGCACGACGATCGATCAGGCAAGGGCAGCCTTGAGCTGCGAACCCCAGGACTATCGGGGGGTTTACGTTGAGGGTTTAGGGTTTGGGAGTTTAGAGTTTAGGGTTTAGGGTTTAGGGTTTAGGGTTTAGGGTTTGGGAGTTTCTAGGGTTTAGGGTTTAGGGTTTAAACGGTTTAGGGTTTAGGGCTGAGGAGTTTCTAGGGCTTAGGGCTTAGGAGTTTCTAGGCCTTAGGAGTTTCCAGGGTTTAGGGTTCACACCCCCCCCTTCTCGCACACTGGCCCAAAGAGGCTTCTTTTTCTCCTTAGCTCGGCTCGCGAGTTCGCGCCTGCGGGTGAGGTATCTGCAGTCGTTGACTCCTCGTAGGGACCGGGCTCTCCGCTTGTGCTTGGGGCAATGTGTTAGCGTTTAGGGCTTAGAGTTTAAGGGTTTTGGTGATTAGGGCTCATGGCGGCATCGACGCCTACAAGACGATCATCTGAGCAGTATAGGAGCTGCCATTATGAAGGAAAGTCCCCTCGCACACAATGCACAAGACTTCATGCCTCTATCTGCTCAAACTCACCTAAACCCTAAACCCTAAACCCTAAACCCTAAACCCTAAACCCCAAGATCCCTCAGCCCTGGAGAGCATTGCACCTTGCCCCAACAGTCCAACAGTCCACACGAAGTGTGACCTGTGCATTCCTTGCTGAGTCCTACCTTGGGGACTACATGAACCCTAAAGGGGTTTATGGTCTCATATGCCTTAATCGGAATTGTAGGGGTTTAGGGTTTAGGGTTTAGGGTTTAGGGTTTAGGGTAGTAGTCAGGGTATATGACCCCAATTTTAGGGCCCATTTCGTCCCCAAGGTACTTCTGGGCTGACCTCTGGAGTCCTCACAAGCACAGCAGCCACTCTCTTCAGGGTTTAGGGTTTAGGGTTGAGGGTTGCGGGTTGAAGGTTGAGGGTTTAGGGGTACTACCGCACTTCCTTGACATCAGTCTCTATGACACCGTGCATCGCAACACAAGTCTCGAGGATGGTTTTTGCAAGTCCAAGACGCGAGGAACGAAGCACGTTTGCCTAAACCCTAAACCCTAAACCCTAAACCCTAAACCCTAAACCCAGATGATCAGCATGGCTATCCTGAGCCCCCCCCCCCCCCCCCTTAATGAAGTGACCGAAGGGTTTAGATCTTTGACAGATCACGCGATGGTCACAGAGAGTCACCCAAACCTAAACCCTAAACGGTTTAGGGTTTAGGGTTTAGGGTTTCAACCCGAAAAAAAAAGTGCTGGAGTGCAGCCCTGGATTCCTGCAACTTTGCGATGCAGTGGCCCATCTCCGTCTCTTCGAGACTTGAGAACTGAGAGACGTGTCTGCTTGTCAAGAAAACGGCGCCGCAAGGCTTTCCCCTGTCCTCGGGGACGAAATGGACCCTAACATTGGGGTCACATGCCCTGGTTTAGGGTTTAGGGTTATAGGGTTATAGGGTTTAGGGTGACGACTATAATTCATATTAAGGTATTTGAACCATGAAAACCCTTTAGGGTTCATATTTCGTCCCCAAGGTTCCGGGCAGCCCGGAGCCCAAATCCCCAAACCATGACATGCTAGGGTTTAGGGTTTAGGGTTTAGGGTTTAGGGTTTAGAGTTTAGGGTTTAGGGTTTAGGGTTTAGGGTTTAGGGTTTAGGGTTTAGGGTTTACCACAATAAGGGGGACCCCTAATGTAGGATCCCGAAATAGTAGGATTCCTTATCATAAGGACCCCAAATAAGGTACCCCCCAATCAAGATCCCCAAATAGTAGGATTCCCTTATGATGAGGACCCCAAGAAGGGTACCCGAATTTCGGAAGCCACCAAATCAGGAGGCACGCAGGAGTGTGCACCTTGCTTAGGGCCCTAAACCCTAAACCCTAAACCCTAAACCCTAAACCCTAAACCCTAAACCCTAAACCCTAAACCCTAAACCCTAAACCCTAAACCCTAAACCCTAAACCCTAAACCCTAAACTTAAACCCGTTTTGTGCACGGGCGTCTTGACTCTCTGGCGTTCCCCGCATGCCCATCCTGGGGTTCAAGACGATGAGCATTAGATCCACAACTCTCATCCTTGGGTTCGAAGCGATGGTTCTTACAACCCTAAACCCTAAACCCTAAACCCTAAGCCCTAAACCCTAAACCCTAAACCCTAAACCCTAAACCCTAAACCCTAAACCCTAAACCCTAACCCTAAACCCTAAACCCTAAACCCTAAACCCTAAACCCTAAACCCTAAACCCTAAACCCTAAGCCCTGCATGCCCTGAGTAAGTGGTGAGGGCCTCACCTTGTGAAAGCGAAATTCTTCGCAAGGCCCCACCTTGCCCCCCAGTACTGCAGTAATGTAGTGTAGTGATAGTATGTACTATTATACCAGTATACGAATGTACTCATATTACAAATATATCATATACTTCTACACTTATATACCTATATGTATACACATATGCATTTACATGTTATAACAATATACAACAATAACATAATCATCTGAGTCCGAGAAGCCCCCAAGTGGCCCCCCCCCCCCCCCCCCCCCCCGGCATGGTCTTCGCTGCGGCAGCTGCCTTGCCAGAGGTGCCAGTGCGACTGACAGGCACAGAGTTTGGCAGGGTCTAGGGTTTAGGGTTTAGGGGTTAGGGTTTAGGGTTTAGGCTTTAGGGTTCAGGAGTTTGGCGCTTTTCGGGTGTAAGAGTTGAGGGGGTCTAGGGATGTAGGGGTTTAGTGGTTTAGGAATGACAGAGGTTTTTACAAGGGCTTCTAGGTGTTGTAGAGTTTTGTAGGCTGTTTTGTAGGGTTTTGTAGGGCCCCGCAGGGTTTGTAGTGTTTGTAGGGTTGAAGAGTTTCTCTGATGCTTCTTTCAGGCGGCAACACCGATGCTGGACGTGTCGAGGTGTGCCTTCACTTTGTGGTCTTTACTCTTTCAAACGCGGTTTACGGTCTGAGGGTTTGCGGGTTTGAGGGTTTGCGAGGGTTTGCAGGTTTGGGGGTTTTGAGGGTTTTGAGGGTTTTGAGGGTTACAACATGTTTCTGTCAGTGGATGCTGATCTGTTGGCAAGGATTGATCCCGTGGCTGACCCGTTGATAGGGATACTATCACTTGGCCTACAACCCTAAACCCTAAACCCTAAACCCTAGACCGTCTGTATATGTTTGCACCCAGTTCGATTGGATATGGTGGGCAGAATGTTACGTGCCATGGAGACCAAATGAGCCCTAAACGGGTTTTATGATACCCATGTAGAAGCAAGATGTAAAGTATCCTGAGCTAACTACAGGCCTGCCACATCTAAACCCTAAACCCTAAACCCGAAACCCTAAACCTTCTAAACCCTAAACCCTAAACCCAAAACCCTAATCCCTAAACCCTAAACCTGAACTCTCAGACTGAAAGAAGCATCTTCCTTCGCAAGAAGTGGAGCACGCAGTACGCAGGTAGCAGGGCAGGAAGCAGCGCGAATGAAGGAGTGCTCGGGAAAAGCACTGTGCACAGCACGAACACCTGGACGGGTACTTGGACAGAAGTGAAAATGGTTGCCTTGCTGGTTGAACAAGATGATCAAGCTCTTCGACTCTGAATGTTTTTTGAGCGTTTCTTTTGTATTATTCAAGCTTGTTGGCAATGATAACTGTTCAGTACATACCTCTTTGGTGACAGGTAGAAGTTTTTGCCTCTGACATAGAGTCGAAATGACTACTAAGAACAAGCTGAATCATTCATCAACTTGAATCATGAAATTTAACATGTAAGTGATCTCAACATTTACTAGAATGACAAACTTCGAATCTTTGTGTCAAAAATGTTTTCATCCAAATACAACATTTGTTTGTATGCGTTGGGCAAAAAAGAAAAACGCATCACACAATCTTAATGGTATCCATGAATGGTTTAGTACATGTTTGGATGGTAAAACTTATTTAAGAACGGTGCAATTAGATAAAAAGTATACGATTAATCAGTAATGCAATATTCAACCTTGCCTTTTAATATGTGTATCTGTATTCAACCCTTTTAATATTTGTATATGTTGTTATATGTGTATATATAGTGTTTTTAACAATTACAAATCAAGAATGTGGATTAACATGAAATATGCAATTTTATTAAAATTGTGCAAACATTCATATGTCTAAGAATATGGGGCGTTGGCCTTCCAATATTTGGTTGAAGTCCAATATAATACTCGGTACATGGCCCCAATTTTCGGGTCCATTTGGTCCCCAAGGAAAAGAATCCGGGTTCGACACACCTAGCAGAGGTTACCAGGTCCTAAGCCCTAAACCCGAAACCCTAAACCCTAAACCCTAAACCCTAAACCCTAAACCTCGTTGAAAGGGTCGCCTCGGCTTCTGCCAGGTTTTCCTGTCGAGCCGCTGGCGCGGCTGGGCAGAAATGAACAGAGATTCCTGCACACCTTAAGGACCAAATGAACCCTCAGAGGGCTTAGGGTTTGTTTAGGGTTTAGGGTTTAGGGTTTAGGGTTTAGGGTCTAGGGTTTAGGGTTTAGGGGATAGGGGTTTAGGGGTTTAGGGGTTTAGGGGTTTAGGGGTTTAGGGGTTTAGGGGTTTAGGGGTTTAGGGGTTTAGGGGTTTTGGGGGTTTAGGGGTTTAGGGGTTTAGGGGTTTAGGGGTTTAGGGGTTTAGGGGTTTTGGGGGTTTAGGGGTTTAGGGGTTCAGGGGTTTAGGGGTTTAGGGGTTTAGGGGTTTAGGGGTTTTGGGGGTTTAGGGGTTTAGGGGTTTAGGGGTTTAGGGGTTTAGGGGTTTAGGGGTTTAGGGGTTTAGGGTTTCCAGGTTCATAGTATCTTAATCGGGATTACAGTAGTATAGGGTAGATGGCCCCAATTTTAGGGTTCATTTGGTCCCCAAGGCATGTGGTGGCTACAGGGAATGCGGGAACTATCTGGAAAAGGTATTGGAATTCTTTGCCAAGTTCTACTTCTGCTTTTTGAGGTTTGAGTGACAGACGGCATAAACTAACACTTTGTGGAACATGTCAAACTGCTGGAAGTGCACTGCGGCAGCAGTGGAAAGCAGCACCCAACAGTGCCCATATCTGGGGTTGAGGGCGTAGGGTTTGGGGTGTAGGGTGAAAGACACCAAGACAAAGCATACACACACACACACAACAATCAGTTGCGGAGTATGCTGCTGGACACTCGCATGATTGTTGTCTTTGCTCCTTGACAGCAGCCGTCCTTGATAGTTGCAGAGCTTTCGTTCATGGCCAATGCGCAAAAACCTGTATTTGTTGCTGAGCACCGGGGCCATTGCTCCTTTAGCCAGCATGCTTCCGAACCGAGGCAAACGATGAAGCAAAACCTATCACCCTAAACATGAACACCCCCAACACCCCTAAACCCCAACATCCCTAAACCCTAAGCCCTAAACCCTAAACCCTAAACCCTAAACCCTAAACCCTAAACCCTAAACCCTAAACCCTAAACCCTAAACCCTAAACCCTAAACCCTAAACCGAAACCTCCGAAGCCCCGAAGCCAAACTTAGGCTGGATCTGCTTGGGCCAGGAGGGCCCTAACTTCACCCTCTCGGCTGCTGAGGCGGGTGCCATGTGATGCCCACCTGTCCATGCCTTGGGGACCACATGAACTCGTAAGTTATGGATCATTCCACCCTGTACGTACTAACAATACTCCCTACAATACGGGATTTTTTCTGGAGGACATCTTATGTCTTCCCCTTATTGGGTTTAAGAAAATCATATTCAGAGGGTTTTACGGGCCATCCTAGAGTTGGACCCTTTCGGGTTATCAGGTGTGCATAAGCCTAAACCCTAAACCCTAAACCCGAAACCCTAAACCCTAACTAAACCCTAACCCCTAAAGCGACTTAAGAAGGCTCCCCAAGTGAACTGTCGGCTGATGAGCCCTCGGCGTGGTGTTTACCTTAGCTGTACGATTTGCCCGGGTCTCATGTACTCATGTACTCCTCTCACACGGGTCTTCTTGGCCTGTGGGGATGCTCGAAGAAGTAGATTAGTTTTGTCCGTGTGCTTGTGTCATCCACCCTACTAGCCCTATGACAGACGAATATTGCAGTCCACCCGCTTCTTGCACCCGCCCCCTTAGACCCCACGACCCTATAAACCCCTAAACCCTTGTGTGTTCATGTTGGGAGATCTGCACGGAGTACCGCCATTTTCGCGAGATCGGACTCAGGTCGTGAGGCATGCAGCATTGCAGCATGACCTCCGACTGCTAACAATATACCAGTACAACATATAAGACAATAATGTGATGATAATAGCATCAAGACATAAAAATATATTATATAGTGTGATATGGTAATGCGATACAAAGCAATACCATAACATACAATACAATGTAATACAATACAAGGGAATACAAGACAGCACAATACAATCCGATACAAAGTAATCGTTTAGGATTGTAGCAATCGCCTTGTTCATATGAATACACTGTTGCATGAATGTTACAAACTATGAGCGTGTCATAAGATACGTGATAAACATGCACAAAGCAAGCTAGTTTCCGGAACATTCTCACATAAATACATCATGTAGTTATATATATATATGGACAGGTTCAAGAACGAATTAGTATTCAGAATGACAAAGTAGTATTGTAACACTGCGTTGCATAGTGTCATCATGATGCAATGATATCATGACACAACGATGTCAAGATACTCTGAGAGTTCTGCTGTTCACAAAGGAGGTCTGGAAGATCGTGGGGCCAATCTGCGAGACCTCCCCAGCAACTGCGACCATGCACACCGTTTAATGATACAATATCATGCAACATGTAAAAAATCTAACATCATCTCAGATACTATGTTCTAAGATACCCGAAGTCCTAAACCTAAACCTTAATTTCGTATCGTAGGGGATATCGGAATATCGTATACTCCAAACTTAGGGATGCTTGGGAATAATTAGAAATTTTGGGGTAGTGTATATATATATATATATACATATACATATGAATATATAGAATTCCTAAGAAACTGCAAAAAATGAAATTTTTGCCAGGGTTCCAAGTTCAGGTAAGAAAAAAACCCTAAACCCTAAACCCTAAACCCTAAACCCTAAACCCTAAACCCTAAACCCTAAACCCTAAACCCTAAACCCTAAACCGATCGAAAAGGTTGTCTGCCGCCAACTCGGCCTTCGACGAGGCCGGGGTGTGGTCCAGTGCTGCGCGTTCTCTTGCAAAATCCTTTTGGGTGTCGTAGGGTTTAGGGTTTAGGGTTTAGGGTTTAGGGTTTAGGGTTTAGGGTTTAGGGTTTAGGGTTTAGGGTTTAGGGTTTAGGGTTTAGGGTTTATTGAGATTTAAGGTTTTGGGTTTCGGGTTCAGGGTTGCGAGGTTATTCACAGCCGCCCGGAACTTCCCACAACCTTGGGGACCATTTGAACCCTAAGAAGGGCTTCTGGTTCATATACCTAAATGCGAATCATAGTAGTACAGGGTCGATGACCCCAATTTTAGGGTTCATTTGGTCCCCAAACAATCCGACGCAATAAGCAGGTGACTAAAGCGTCTCAGAACAAGGAAAGGTGGTGACGAGAGCGGCCACCGATGCAGTCGATGCAAGCACTTGCGCTCACCCTGCAGGGTGGAGCACAGAGACGAAGCCCCTAAACCCCTAAACCCCTAAGCCCCTAAACCCGAACCCTATTTTCAAAGCCCCATCCCAAGCTGGCCCGAAACCTGAAGACCTGTCCCATTCTGAGCCTCCTCTCGGCCCGAAGCCGAAGCGCAGTGCAGAAGCATGTTTTTTTCCGGGGAGTCAAACCGTATTTTTCGCCCAACATTTCTCCATAGCTCACTTCGACCTTGGGGACCAAATGAACCCTAAAATTATGGTCATATACCTGGACTATAATTTCTATTAAGGTACATGAACCATAAACCCTTTTAGGGCCCGACTAGTCCTCAGGGTAGACACAACTCAGTAACTCGCCACGCCAGGACTTAGCACCTTCCGGATGGCGAACGGGGCATCCACAGACGCCTCCGCCCTGCGGAGAGTAGACTGCCGAGGCTGCTGAGTTAGGGCTTGGGGTTTAGGTATCCGGGTTTAGGGTGTGTCAATTTGAAAGGTGTTTGGGGTTCAGGGGTTTTGATGGCACATACATTAAGAACCCAAAGCCTTTGTGTGCCTGCCCATTAAGTGACCTGCAAAACTCGGGCTTTTGGGGTTCTCTGAAGACAGTGGTACACAGCGCATATCGTGCCATCCTTGGTGTCTTTGCTGTTTGCAGGACCGAGGGCATCGCTTAAAACCATTGCGCAACACAGGTTCGTTCATGACTTTCCCTCAGGATGGGGGCCCGTGAGCGCTGAAGCCACAGCCTAACCCTAAACCCTAAACCCTAAACCCTAAACCCTAAACCCTAAACCCTAAACCCTAAACCCTAAACCCTAAACCCTAAACCCTCAGTCAGGCACCGAGGCCTCCCTTCTGGACTGCCAACTCCAGGTGCAGGCGGGGGGCCCTTCACAAGACCAGCCCCCGACCTGCAACCTGCCTTGGGTAACAAAGGGTTTAGGGTTTAGGGTTGAGGGTTCAGGGTTTAGGGTTTAAGGGTTTAGGGTTTAGGGTTTAGGGTTTAGGGTTTGGGGTTTGGGGTTTGGGGTTTAGGGTTTAGTCAGGGCTTAGGGCTTAGGGTTTAGGGTTTAGGGTTCGAAAACCTGTTATAGTAGTACAGGCTACATGACCCCAATTTAGGGTTGAGTTGGTTCCCCAAGGTGAGGGAAAAGGGACAAGCTTTTGACATCTTTGCCTCATCCCCTTAAACCCTAAACCCTAAACCTAACCCTTGGCAGGATGCACTGCCGCCACTTTGTGGGGATCCTGCAGGTGGGATCTATCATTCTGGGGTTTGGGGTTGAGGGTTTAGGGTTTAGGGGTTTAGGGGTTTAGGGTTCAGGGTTGAGGGACAAACAATCCTTTTGAGAGTGTGGGCCAGTGGAGGTGTCGCTGCCGCCGCTGTGCGGTGCACGAACTTCGTCCCAGAGGTCGGGTCCCGATTTTGAAGCGCGAACGCCCACCATTGGTACTTGAAGGCCCAGAGTGTTGCCCTAAGCCCTAAACCCTAAACCGTAAACCCTAAACCCTAAACCCTAAACACAGTTTTTGGCCCACAGCCCTCCCTCCTCCCCAAGCCTCCACTCAGCTGGCACTGCATTCGCTGGCACTTTCGAAGGGTTCTACATCACAGCTTATAAGGCGTTTCGCTAAACCCTAAACCCTAAACCCTAAACCCTAAACCCTAAACCCTAAACCCTACACCGGCCAATAGCGGGCTCTGGAGTCGGTCAGCAACTTCGCCATCAAACGCTTCCCCTGTCAAGGAGCAGCCAGCCGTGCGGCTGACAGGCAACGCCTCCCGACTGCTGGAAGATGCGGCATTGCACCTCAGCTTAATGGCAGCTCCTGCAGCATGAGCTATTATTCGCCCGATAACCCCCTAAAACGGCCCTTTATTAAGGGCTGATTCTGGGGATTGTAGGGCCCAACAAGCCCATCCTGGTTTTGTATGGAGGGAGAGAGGAGAACAGAGGGGAGGGCAACAAATTCACCGCGGAGATTCGTATGACGTGGGCCGTGTGCTAAATTACGTGGGACCCTTTTTACGTACAGTTTTCTGGGTTATACCTCTTCATTCAGGGTAGGTACTACGCAACTGTAGGTAAAGAGTGTCCCAGGATTTTTTGCGTGAGGCATCCGTATTTGTGGGGACACTTTTGAGATCCTCGCCCCCGGACACTGTAGTGGCTGTCCAGAGCTAAGGCGGGTGGCTTGTGCTGCAGAGGAGGCTGGGAGCAGTTTTAGCCTGTATACCGAGATCACAAGAATAAGAACGAACCTAGATGCGCAATGATGCAAGGCTTCTCGTTTCAGCTCGTGGCAGCATGGCGATCGACTCGCCACCTTTTCTTCGCGAAACTCGAGTTTAAAATTTCAGAATGCAAATGCCCCGTTTCCCCTCCCCAGAGACTCCAATGTTCCTTAGTTAAGAAATATTACTTCAACCATATAAGGACCCCTATTGCAATTTCAGGAAAATTCCTTAGTTAAAGGGGTGCCAGTCTTTCGAGCAGCGAGTTCCGTTGACAAAACGACGACGATGGTAGGTCAACATATCGGAACAATTGCTAATCGTATTCTGGTCTGTGCATACTTAGACGATAATCACCCCCCAAACCCTTTCCCAATTCTTATAAGTATGCCAACATGCAGTGTCGCAGGGTATTCTCCATGGGTCTGGTGCTAGAAAGTGCCTCCCTTGGGGACCACATGAACCCTAAAAACTGGGGCCATATGCCCTATACTACTATAACTCCCATTATAAGGTAACATGAACCATAAAAACCCTTTTAGGGTTCATTTGCTCCCCAAACTCCCGCCAAAAGCGCAGGAGGAGTCGAAGACCGCGCTCCCCTCCTTCCATTGCGAGATTGTCGAGGCCCCCCTGTGCCCTTCTCTACCATTTGCTTAAGAACCCCAAAGGAATAAAGGAACAGTAATCCCTATAGTACCCTCAATAAGGAAGAATATTTGTATCTCTACTATTTGCTTAAGAACCCCAAAGGAATAAAAGAACAAGAATCCCTATGTTACCCTCAATAAGGAAGAATATATGTTTCTTTCTTTGGGGGTTCTTAAGCAACTAGTAGTTCTGGTCGCATGTGTCACAGCAGGCCATGGACCTGTGCTTGGGACCGCAGGAACCCCCAAGAATGTTGGGACACGGCCTTCAAACCCTAAAATACATACTCTTAAACTCCTAAACCCCCACAATTGCTCCAAGAATTCCTCACAAGGAATATATCACTTGGGCGCCCAGGGTCTGCTTACGCCCTTAAGAGTTCTGAGAGCAGCGTCCTAACATGGCATGTCATCCCATCCTTGGGGACCAAATATGAAACCCAAAAGGGCTTATGGTTCATATACCTTAGTAGGAATTATCGTAGCATCGGGGGGTAAATGAGCCCAGTTTTAGGGTTCCTTTGGTGCCCCAAAACATGGATCTGCTGCCAGGATGCCTGGCTGCGCAGATCAAAATCGCACGTATGATCTTGGTTTAGGGTGTTTAGGGTTTATAGGGTTTAGGGTTTAGGGTTTAGGGTTTATTTAGGGAATGGTTGCCTGAAGCGGCTGGGGAAAGCGCATGAAGATCCTAAACCCTCCATACCCTAAATGCCCTTGTAAAACACCAAGATAGCCTTTTCATAAAGCCTAGCTTCTGAACCCCGTTGGAACCTTGAACCCCGAACCCTGAACCCTAAACCCTAAACCCTAGCCCTAAACCCTAAACCCTAAACCCTAAACCCTAATCTGCAGCTCTCAAAAAGGACGACAGCTGCAGCTCCACCAGCAGAGGCTTGGCCTCTCACATGGACGGAAACCCTGAGACGTTCCACGCCGTTCTACACACTGTGGGAGTTTTCTGAGAAGATAGCCCTGTGACTCTATAAAATACAATATAGTAGATTCGAATATATTGTAATTAAATAAAAAAACATATGTATACTATATACATCTGTGTATCTACGGGCATGCATATGTCGGTGTAGACGTGTGTATACATATCTTATGTGAGTACGTGTGCGCACATCTGTTTATGTAATCTAGTAGGGCCGGTTTGAAGACACACTGTCACTGAAGAACTTGTTCAAGCTGAGTTGTGAGAGCTGCTTTCCTAAACCCTAAACCCTAAACCCAAAACCCGAAACCCTCAACTCTAAAACCCTAAGCCCTAAACCCTAAACCCGAAAGAATGCTAGCTCTGGGGCCTAAGTGGAGGCGGTCCACCTGCCGGCACGAGCTTGTTTGGTGAGGACCCGGGTGTTTGAGCATTCCGTTGTGGCTCACGCTGGAGTTTAGGATGTAGGGTTAGGGTTTAGGGTTTAGGGTTTAGGGTTTAGGGTTTAGGGTTTAGGGTTTAGGTTTAGGAAACCCTACACCTACATACTTGGAAAACCAGCACTCACCCTAAGGGCCCATGTACCTATGTAGTATATACTTGGGCACTAGAGCTACTCTATGGGAACCCCTTTGAGGCCCAAGTATGTACCATACAGGTACATGGACCCTGAAAGGGTCAGCACCACGCACCTTGGGGACTAAATGAACCGTAAAAGGGTTTATGGTTCATGTACCTGAATAGGGGTAAAAGAAGTTACCCTAAACCCTAAACCCTAAACCTTAAACCCTATATGACCCCAATTTTAGGGTTCATGTCGGCCCCAAGGCAGCACCACTGGGCAGGAGTCACTTGCCGCTTTTGTGTTCCCTGCGGCTATGGAGGCGCCTTTGTCCAATGAGGGAATGAGGTATAATCCCTTAAAGGGTGGATATAGGGTGCTCATTCCCTCATTCCCTACTAAGGCTGTGCAAACCGTGGTACGGTCTGCGAAAGCTCGCAAAGCCTTGGGGGCCAAGTTGGAAGACCTAAAGGGTTTAGGGTTTGGGATTGAAGCCGTATGCCATACGTCATAGGGATTCTAGCAAAATATGGGTATATGACCACAAAATTTAGGGTTCATGATTGGTCCGACCATCGTGTGGCGAGCGCTGTGGCGCCAGCGGGATAAAGTTTGCACCCTCAACCATGGGGACGAACTATGACGGTTGAAAGGGTTTACGGTTCATATACCTTAATCGGAATTATAGTAGTGACCCCATTCTTGGGGCTCATATGGTTCCCAGGAAAAGGACCCGAAAAGGGACCCTCCTCGGAGGACCCCAATGAAAAAGTCTACGTATTGCCTACTTAGAGGACTTAGGGGGCTGATACGTCCAGTTATCGTGTCATAATTCGGGTTATCAGTCCCCTGACCCTATAAACCCTGAACCCTCAACTTTAGGGTTTATGGTTTATAGGGGCAGGGCTAAACCCTACGTACGTCAAGCAGGCCTTTAGGGTTTAGGGTTTAGGGGGTTTAGGGCACAGGCCGCAATGAAGGACTATTGTAGCATATGGGGTATGTGATCCAATCTGTGGGTTCCTTTGGGGTTCTGAGGGATGTTACGACATTGCTCCAAGCCTTGGGGACTCAATGAACCCTAACATGGTATATGGTTCAATTACCTTAATAGGAATTTTAGTAGTCACAGTATATGACCCCCAATTTATTGTTCCCGAAACCCTAAACCCGAAACCCTAAACCCTAAACCCTAATTAACCGCACATTCCACTCATGTGCTTGGGTGCCCGGCGGAAGCGCCTCGTGCCCTTTTGTGGTTCAAGGTTCCCTTATAACGTACCCTAAACCCTATAAACCCTAAACCCCTAAAACCCTGAACCCTATAAACCCGAAACCACCCCAAAAAAGGTTACCCTTGTTTATAACATGGCAACCGGAAACCCTAAACCCTAAACCCTAAACCCTAAAGGCCATAAGCCCTAAAGCCCTAAAGCCCTAAAGCCCTAAACCCTAAACCTTGAACCCTAAACCCCAAACCCTAAACCCTAAACCCCAAACCCTAAACCCCAAACCCTAAACCCCAAACCCTAAACCCCAAACCCCAAACCCTAACTTGTGAAGGCACCACTGGCCTTGGCTCGAAAGCGCTGGCGCCAGGCGGGCAGCCTGGAGGCGGACGGACAAGGGAGGGGGGGGGGGGGGGTTTAGGGTTTAGGGTTTAGGGTTCAGGGTCTAGGGTTTAAGGTTTTGGGGGCAGGGGGGGGACATCCTCCTTGGGGACGAAAAGGAACCCTAAAAGGGTTTATGGTCCAGACACAAAGAAGATGCGTTCTGGTAGCTCTAGGGTATATGATTTTGTAATCTTGGATTCATCTGGTCCGCAAGGCACGCCCAAAGGTGGTGCGATGGAGCGGCATGCGTGGAAGGGGGCATCTTCTCCCTAAACCCTGAACCCTAAGCCCTAAGCCCTAAACCCTAAACCCTAAATCCTAAACCCTAAACCCTAAACCCTAAATCCATAGCATGCAGCCCTGCTTCTGGCATTCGAATGCCATCTCGGCTCAAGGACCCTGTAGCTCGCGGCCTGTGGGTTTCGGAGTTCGCACGCGCACCGGGCCTCCTTGGTGGCCTCTGTAGTTTGCAAGCAATGGCTTTTTCAGGCTTTGTGGCGCAGCCGGTTCAGCCCGACCCAACGTTTCACTACGCCGGTGCGCCTGGGCATGTCGTTGTGCAACCGGAGATTTGCATGACTTGGTATGTGGCAACGGGTTACGTGAAGCAAGACAAATCGCAGCCGGAGCAGCAGGTGTTGAAACTGCACGAGCTCATTAGCTTCGAGGGCTCCACCGAGTCCAAGGCAGATCCCCCGAAAGTTTCGCTCAACGAGCCAGAGTTCGTCATCGGAGGGCCATCTGGACCGGCATGGGACTTAAAAGAAGATGTGGAGGAGGTACTCTCCACATTGTCCACATTGTCAGAGGTCGCCGGGGCTTGTGAGGTGTTTTCGCTTGCGTCCGGTCTCCACCGCATGGCGAAGCTTGCGGATGAAAATGCCTATGGCGCCATGGGAGGATTGGAGCATGTGTTAGATGACCCACGCCTTGAAAGCGTTGTGTCAGTGCTTAGGTCAAAGGCCCAAGGGCTCACAACTCCACGCGCCATCATGCAAACCATCTGGGCCCTCGGAAAGCTTGGGGTCAAAGGCTACGATGTGCAGGCCATCATCGCCCAGCTCGCACAAACCTCCCCGCCAGTCATGCACCAGTGGTCGAGCAAGGAGCTTTCAAACACTCTTTGGGGCCTGGCCAGGTTGAGCGAGAGCTTGTGCGGGCTGCGGCCGGAGGGACTGCAGCTCGCATATCGGGTGCCTCGGGGACGACATGAGCCCTAGGGGTCATATGTCCTGGCGATGATACTTACCTACTAAGGTATGTGAATCCTAAACCCTAAACCCTAAACCCTTTTCGGGTTCCTTTTCGTCCCCCCAAGGTGATGATGCAATGCACTTTGCGGCTTGAGAAGTTCAGCACGCAGTGCCTCACCAACAGCTTCTGGGCGGTGGCGAAGATCGGGCTCAAGGGCCGGGAAGCGAAAGCCTTCTGCAACTTCTCCAAGAGCTACACCTTGAAAAGCTAAACCCTAAACCCTAAACCCTAAACCCTAAACCCTAAACCCTAAACCCTTTTTTTATAGGAATGATAAAGGGTTTAGGGCTTAGGGCTTAGGGCTTAGGGTTTAGGGCTTCCTTTTTTTAAATAGGAATGATAAAGGGCAGGGAAGTAAAGTCCTTCCGCAGCTTCCTTCTCCAAGAGATGAACTGTATGGTTAGTTTCTTTAGGGTTTAGGGTTTAGGGTTTAGGGTTTAGGGTTTAGGGTTTAGGGTTTAGGGTTTAGGGTTTAGGGTTTAGGGTTTAGGGTTTAGGGTTTGTTTTCCTTCTTGTTTTGTAGGAGTCGTAAAGTTTTACCATCTTTTTTTCCCTTTGGCTTACTTCTCCAAGAGCTGAGCTTTACAAGCTTTTTGGGGTTTCCTTTGTTTAAATAGGAACCATATAAAGTGTAGGATTTAGGGTTTAGGGTTTAGGATAACCCTTTTTTTTCCCCCCTGGTTATTGGAGAAGTAAGGTAACGAGTGCCTCTACCACATCAAGGAGGTAATGCTCCTTGGGGACGAAATGAACCCTCAACTTGGGGTCATATACCCTGACTACTCGAATCCCTATGAAGGGATATCAACCCTAAACCCGAAACCCGAAACCCTAAACCCTAAACCCTAAACCCTAAACCCTAAACCCTAAACCCTAAACCCTAAACCTTTTTAGGGCTCATTAAGTCCCCCAAGGTACAGGGAGATCTCTCCGCAGGGTCTGGCCAACAGCCTCTGGGCCTGCGCCTTGGGGGCCGATGATGAACCCTACCCTTTGAGGGTCATATGACCCTGACTGAAAGTATTTCCTAACAAGGTATATGAACCCTAAACCCTAAACCCCAAACCCTAAACCCTATGGAGGCATATTGAACCATAAACCTTGTTAGGGCTCATAATTCGTCCCCAAGGTGCCAAGTTCCAGTCGGAATGCCGCGCTCCTTTGGACAGGGATGCAGTGAGGCTCTTCTGCGGAGACTTGGGAGTGCTTGGAAAATATTTTTCCCTAAGCCCTAAGCCCTAAGCCCTAAGCCCTAAACCCTAAACCCTAAACCCTAAACCCTAAACCCTAAGCCCTGTTCAGTATAGGCGATGTGGCACGGCGGACAAGGGCTGCGGAAGGCCTTATGAAGATGTTTTTTCCGCAGGACAGGGGTTTAGGGTTTTGGGTTTAGGATTTGGGGTTTAGGGGGTAGGGTTTAGGGTTGAGGGTTGAGGGTTTAGGGAGTAGGCTTGAACATCATTTCTTGTTGTTATTACCCTTAATCCCCCTGTCTAATTCGCGGTTTAGGGTTTATAGGGTTTATAGGGTTTATAGATAATTTATAGGGTTTATAAGGTTCATAGGGTTTATAGGGTTTATAGGGTTTATGGGGTTTATAGGGGTTTAGAGTATACAGACTTTTTTTTGCAGGGCCCCCCCCAAACCTAACCCAAGAGGAGCTGTCCATGGCGCTGTGGGCCATGGCAAAACTGATTCTTGGTGACGAAATGAACCCTAAAATTGGGGTCATATTCCCTGACTTTTGTAATTCCGATTAAGGTATATGAACATTCTGAACCCTAAACCCTAAACCCTTTTAGGGTTCATGTCGGCCCCAAGGATTGGACGCAGGTCCCGATCCAAGCCGAACGACATTTGCTTCGAGGACGCTTCTGGGCCATTGTTCAAAATCATGTTCACATGTCTATGAGTATAGTAAACCCAACAACTTTTCATAGTAACCCTAAACCCTAAGCCCTAAACCCCAAACCCTAAACCCTAAACCCTATATAAACCCTAAACCCTAAACCCTGAACCCTGAACCCTATATAAACCCTAAACCCTAAACCCTAAACCCTAAACCCTATATAAACCCTAAACCCTAAACCCTGAAACCCTGAAACCCTGAAACCCTGAAACCCTGAAGCCCTAAACCCTAAACCCTAAACCCTAAACCCTAAACCTTAAACCCTAAACCCTAAACCCTAAACCCTAACCCTAAACCCTAAACCCTAAACCCTAAACCCTAAACCCTAAACCCCGACCTTGGGATGCAAGGTGTGGTGGTTCGCCGAGTCGGTGGCCTCTGAGGCCGCGTTGCGCATCGGCGACTTCACGCCGCAGGGTGTGTCCAACGTCGCGTGGTCGCTGGCGACGCTGGCTCCTTGGGTTTAGGGTTTAGGGTTTAGGGTTTGGGGTTTAGGGTTCAGGGTTTAGGGTTTAGGGTGGATCCTTGGGGACGAGAGGAACCCTAAAAGGTTCAGGGTTCATATTTCCTTAATGGGAATCTTGAGCCCTGAAAGGGGTTTATGGCTTCATATTACCTTAATAGGAAACATAGTAGTCAGGGCATTATAGACCCCCAATTGTTGAGGGTTCACTTGGTGCCCAAAGGATGTGATGAAGGGCGCGGAAGTCTTGAACTTCTTCGACGTTGCGGCCCAAAACGCCGCGGCGAATATTGAGGCATACCCCCCACAGGCCATCGCAAACTGTGCCTGGGCCTTCAACCGCCTAAGCCAGAAGGGCCGCATGGTGACGCTCTTTGGAAGTGCCTTGGGGACGAAATGAACCCTACGTAGACCCTCTACTACCACAACTCCTAATGAGGTATGTGAACCCTAAACCCTAAACCCTAAACCCTAAACCCTAAGGGGGTTCATTTCGTCCCCAAGGTGTGGCTGCCAGCGAAGCCTTAAGAAGGATCGATGAGTTCTCGTGGCAGGACCCTTGGAAAGCAATGATACACCCTAAAAGGGTTTATGGTTCATGTACCTTCATAAGAATTATAGCCTAAACCCTAAACCCTAAACCCTATATGACCCCAATGTTAGGGTTCATTTAGTCCCCAAGGACTGCTCCAGCATGGTCAGCGCGCTGATGAACAGCCTGAAGTGCCTGGAGGCGCCCCAGAATGGGCTTTAGGGTTTAGGGTTTAGGGCTTAGGGTTTCAGGGTTTGGGGTTTGGGGTTTAGGGTTTAGGGTTTTGGGTTTTGGGTGAATCACCCTAAAACCCAACTGTTTAACGGGCCTAGGCCATAGTAGCCCTTAAACCTAAACCCTAAACCCTAAACCCTAAACCCTAAACCCTAAACCCTAAACCCTAAACCCTAAACCCTAAACCCTAAACCCTAAACCCTAAACCCTAAACCCTAAACCCTAAACCCAACCCTAAACCCTATAGCCCCTAAACCCCAAAACATGCAGGTGCGCGAGCTCGCGAGGGAGGTGGTTCTTCGAGCGAAGGGGCACTGTACCTTGGGGACGCAATGAACCCTAAGACTTGGGGTCGTATACCCTGACTGCTATAATTCCTATTCAGGTATATTGAACCCTAGACCCTAGACCCTAAACCCTAAACCCTAAATCCTAAACCCTAAACCCTAAACCCTATAGACCCTAAACCCTACTAGGGCTCATACTTCGTCCCCAAGGTAAGGAGATCGGCACACAAGCGCTCTTGAACATCGCCTTCTCGGGCGTGCGGTTCCTTGGGGACCCCTTTGGGGAGTTTAGGGTTTGGGGTTTGGGGTTTAGGGTTTAGGGATACAAACCCCCAAATAGTAGAACCCTTTTAGGGTTCACATTGGGCCCCTTAAGGCTTGGTAGGCTTCACAGTTGGTCTCCCAGGTTAAAGCTCGACCATGACGTCATGATCCCCTTGGTGTATGAAATCGCCCATGCCTTCGAGGGCCAGATGCAGGGCTTCAACGACATCGATCTGAGGCAGTGGGAGGAAGCGCAGCGCTACTGTCGCATTCACATTCCGGGCCCCACGGGTGGCAAGAGTCAGGGGCGCCGTGGCAAGTAAGATTTTTGGTTGGGCTTTTCGCACTGGGCATGATGTCTTCCGGCATTCTGAAGCTTATCGGGTTTAGGGTTTATGGGGTTTAGGGTTTAGGGTTTAGGGTTATCTTGTCTGCTCAGATCTGTGTACCTTGGCCCTTCACATGACAGCAGCCCCAGAAGGTATCGAAGCCCAGGAAAGCTGAAAAAAGGCCCAAAGCTGTCCCGGTGGCGGAAAGAGCGTCACCACACGGGACGGGCAGGGTATGCACAAGGGCACTCTAGTGGAGGCCGATGGGTTCTGATACCTTGGGGACTACATGAACCCTAAAAGGGTTTATGGTTCAAATACCTTAATAGGAATTTGTAGTAGTGAAGAACCTGCAGATAGTAACCCTGTGCCCTTGCCGATGTACCCGTCGAACTGCGACAACATGTCCGACATGAAATTACGCGACGCAAGTGGATGGGATGCGCTGCATGTGCCAGACTAGAAAGTTCAGCATGACGTCATGCGTCGACATTCCTTCCTACATGGGCTATATATACCCTATAACCCCCCTTAAACAGGCCCTTTATAGGCTTGATTATGGGGATTATAGGCCCTAAAATCGCCCATCCTGGTACATTCCTAAGGCCGCTTGTGACATTTTCGAGTAGTTCTGGTGCGAGTTTGCCAAAGATGCAGGCCGACTAGTCGCACCTCTACCTTGGGGACGTTTAGGGTTTAGGGTTTAGGGTTTAGGGTTTAGGGTCTAGGGGTTGGGGTTTAGGGTTTAGGGTTTAGGGTTAATCCCTATTGAGGTATATGAACCATAAACCCTTTTAGGGCTGATTGGTCCCCATGGTACGCTCCAGTTTGAGTTGAGCTTTCCCGCCGTGAGGAGAGTCTCAGCGGGTGTGCACGAGGCATTTCGGGAGTGAGTAACTTGTAGCAGTTGTTGCCTTGCGAATGGTGGTCCACTGTGTTCCAGACCCTAAACCCCAAACCCTTAAACTCTAAACCCTAAACACTAAACCCCGATCTTAGAGAAATCAACCCTTTCGAATCCTTAAGCTAAAAAGCACCGCCCGTGCCACCCCACTTTGCACCTTCGCATGTTACCATGGGGAAGCAAAGAATCCTCAAGGTTCTGCAAGCTGCAAGTGGAAATCGCGCAGTCTTGTAGGAGCAAGACCCCGATGCCACTGTGCTATGGACGCACGTGTATCATGCAGCGGGGGGGTTTAGGGTTTAGGGTCTAGGGTTTAGGGTTTAGGGTGTAGGGTTCAGGGTTTATAAGGGCTAAGGGTTTAGGGTTTCTGTGGGCCACCTTGACCGCCATCCCAAATGCGCGCTTCCTTTTGAACAGCCGAGCTCTGCAGATCAAGACTTCGCAGAGCAAAGCAGGTGCTCCTGCAAGCCCTGTGAGGCTTAGAGTCGCAGGGTTTAGGGTTTAGGGTTTAGGGTTTAGGGTTTCGGGTGATGGAAGGGCTTGTCGGACACTTCTCGCTCGACCAGTTTTCAGATTTGCCGGCCTTTGCTAAGAGACCCCTACCCTTGAAGCTTAAAGAGGTGCTTTGAACACACAAGCTGGGAAATGTGCACAATCCTTGGGGATGCAATGAACCCTAAAGTTGGGGTCATATACCCTGACTACTATAACTCCTTTTAAGGTGTATGAACCCTAAACCCTTTTAGGGTTCATGTAGTCTCCAAGGAATGTAAAGGACTCAACCTAAGCAGAATTCGGTGCAGCTGGGCTGCCTCGTTCGGGCAAGTTCTTTTGCAGAAGCAGCGCAGCGTCCGGCAAAGTGGGCAGTCTTGGCAGGAATGCCCGAGACATGAAGTTCAATCAGCAAAGTTGTCCTAGTAGTAGAGTAGGTAACCTTTAACCTCTTTGGGGTAGTATCATCCCCTTTATAATCCCAAAGCTAAACTTTTAATTCCCCCAGGTTACTGGACAACTAAGTTCTGCAACAGAGCTTGCCGGTCCGCCATGCGCCTGGGAGTGGATCAGAGCTTTGTGAGCCGCCGAAGCGTGGTGCACTATAGGAGTACATCGAGGCCAATTGGTTGGCCAAGATGACTTCGTGGCTGAGTAGGTAACCCTTAACCTTTTGGGGTTTATCTAATCCTACTGTACTTCAGCAGGATAACCTTTTTTGGGCTAGGGTACTCAGCGCCAAAGATGACCACACAGATGAGGTCAAGTGAGAAACAGCCTTAGACCATTGGGCGCTTTTTTTCGGAAAACGGATGTGCCGGGGGTCTAGAGGGATGCTTTCGGGGACTTCTTCTAGGATGGAGTAAGGGTACCCTAAACCCCAAACCCCAAACCCCAAACCCCAAACCCCAAACCCCAAACCCCAAACCCCAAACCCCAAACCCTAAACCCTAAACCCTAAACCCTAAACCGTTGGAGGGTTGAAGGTTTGGAGCTGTGTCGGTCGTACCTTGGGGACTGCTGGTTGGTGGTTCATATCCCGTACTGGGAAATTACAGCTTAGGGTAGATGACCCCATTTTTTGTGGGGTTCATGTCGTCCCCAAGGTGATGGAAGGGCACATGAAACCCTCAACCCTCAACCCTGAACCCTAAACCCTGAACCCTAAACCCTAAATCCTAAACCTAAACCCTAAACCCTCACGTGAATGCACGTCGCGGACCTTCACATAGAGTCTCAGCGAGGCCCACCTACCAATCTCCAGAGTAGCCTAAACCCTAAATCCTAAATCCTAAACCCTAAACCCTAAACCCTAAGCCCTAAACCCTAAACCCTAAACCCTAAACCCTAAACCCTAAACCCTAAACCCTAAACCCTAAACCCTAAACCCTAAACCGCAGCGCAGGTGCCCAGTGCTGGGGCCATCGGTTGGGAGCCCGATAGCAGCCGAGATGCCAGGTACTCAGGATGACGGACGCAGAGAGACACAAAGTCGAAGTCCGCGAACCCTAAACCCTAAACCCTAAACCCTAAACCCTAAACCCTAAACCCTAAACCCTAAACCCTAAACCCTAAACCCTAAACCCTAAACCCCGATCCTAGAGAAATCAACGCTGCGGGGCCTTGAGCTAAAAGCATCAGCGTGCCCAGCTGCACCTGAAGTTCATATGCCTCAATAGGACTTGCAGTAGCAGAGGGCATAAGGGCAATTTTAGGGGTCGATTTGGTCCAAAGAAATTCGCGTTGAGTGACCTTGCACAAATAGCCCGCGAGCGAGCGGCCGCGGCTTCTTCTTCCGCTGCAGGGTTGCTCAAAATACAATGCCATTTTTATTATTTTTTTTTTTTTTTGGGGGGGGGGGGGGGGGGACTACTCATGAACCCTGAAATTGGGGCCCTACACCCTCGACTGCTATAATTCCTACAAAGGTAATATTATGAGCCCTATACTCAAACCCTATTGAGGTATTATATACCACTACAAATCCTATTAAGGTAATAATATGAACCACCCTTTTCATGGCCTTGCTGTCCTATTACTTGGAGGTTCATGGTACTTATTAGCCAATTAGATCTGTGCTTGTAACTGTGCTTATAACCATGTTAGGGCCCTTAAGGGCTTATAAGTGGGTTATCAGTACAGTTCTAACCAAAAAGTACCATGAACCTCCAAGTAAGTCCCAGAGGCGAGCGTGCAGTGGGCGCAGCGGCAGGCAGTCTTCTCCCCATTAGGCCGCTTGCTCTTCGACCTCGATGCGGCGGCGGGGACTGTTCAAGCACGGGTTTAGGGTTTAGGGTTTAGGGTTTGGGGTGGGTTCTCTAACTATGGTCCCTTTGGGATCCTTATTACAAGGCGGCCCCTGTTGTTTAGGGCGCCCCAAAAAGGACTATAATTATGGGAACTGACCATGTTCGGACTCTTCGGAGGATTTAGGATGTCATCCCTGTTATCCCTGTTAATTGAGGGATCACATGTACCCAAAGTGCTATGGTAAATCCCAAACTTTTTGCTGTGTCATCCTTCATTAAGGTATATAAAACCCCGTCATCATTCTTATTATGAAGGTCTATCGTTGATAATGCACAGTGCTTTATTCGTGCCCCTGAAGGTACGAAATGATATCAGCCATAAGAAAACAATCGTCATAATGACAATGATAACCGCAAGAAGCGCAAATGACAGCAATGAAAGCTTAGGGCTATGGCCAGAGGCCACACGGAATAAGGCAGAAGGCAGGAATGTGAAGAACATCACAGGCGGATACGTCGGCGGCTGGGTAGGCACGGGGCAAGGCACCTGCCAAGGCATCACAGTAGGCATCAGGTTGCAGTCATGGCAATCATAACACTGAGAATAAACATACGAAAAGCCACCATAATCACAAGAGTGACAATAATCATAACATAGCAGAACCGGAGAACCTATTTTCCGGCAGTTGAGTAGTCAGTACCCCCGTATGTAGTAGGTATAACCCTTCAAGCAGTAGGTAAATAGGGTCCCAGGAAGAGCCAGTAGAACCAGCAGGCTCAGAATGGCCCAAAGACCTTGTACAATAAGCCCTTTGAAGGGCCCAAACATCCTTAAGTTTGAGTCCTTGAAGCTGTCAGGGGGAGAGTTTAGATGTTGAGCCTAAACCCTAAACCCTAAACCCTAAACCCTAAACCCTAAACCCTAAACCCTAAACCCTAAACCCTAAACCCTCTCCAAGGACGTCCTTGGCCTCACAGGCCCGAAGGCCGCGGGCCCACCGAAGTTGTCTGGAGGACGGGAGTTTGGCACAGGGAGCAGCTCCGAGTAATTCGGGTGGTTTAGGGTTTAGGGTTTCGGGTTTACGGTTTCGGGTTTAGGGTTTCGGGGTTTTGGGTTTCGGGTTTACGGTTTCGGGTTTAGGGTTTCGGGTTTCGGGATTAGGGTTTAGGGTTTAGGGTTTCGGGTTTAGGATTTAGGGTTTCGGGTTTAGGGTTTCGGGTTTAGGGTTTCGGGTTTAGGGTTTCGGGTTTAGGGTTTCGGGTTTAGGGTTTCGGGTTCAGGGCTTAGGGTTGGGGGCAAGGAAGTGCAGGGCTTAGGGGTACTAGGGTGTTTGTGCTTCCAGGTTTATAGGGCGTGTCATATCAACACCACCCTTGAATGCTTTGCCTGGTCACCCTAAACCGTAAACCCCTAACCCCTAAATTCTAAACCCTCTTGCGCAATTAATTGGATTCCGAATGCTTCAACTGTGCTGCACCAGTGCAAATGCAGTCCAATCTGGACTGCCCATCACGACAATCAGAAAGTTACGGAGTACCGATCGTGAGGGCTGAGGTAGTTTTGGGCACGCCCTGGTTTACGGCGTATAGGGTTTAGGGTTTAGGGTTTAGGGTTTAGGGTTTAGGGTTTAGGGTTTAGGGTTTAGGGTTTAGGGTTTAGGGTTTAGGGCCTTGGCAGGAGCTCTTGACATCTACTCGGCCCTTGAGAGGCCTCGGCAGTGGTCCTTAAAACAAAGAAAGTGCGTCCAATGCACCTGCCAGCCTTTTAAGAGTGGTATTCTCATCCCTAGCAGGCTTAGGGTTTAGGGTTAGGGTGTCGGGTATGGGGTTTAGGGTTTAGGGTTTAGGGTTTAGGGTTTAGGGTTTAGGGTTTAGGGTTTAGGGTTTAGGGTTAGGGTGTAGGGTTCAGGGTTTAGGGTTTAGGGGTTGAGGGGAGACCCGAAGCCATGAGCCCTGAAGCCGTCGGCGCAGGGACGGTGTCGTGGAGTTGGGCGACCTCGGCCTTCCTCCCGAGCTCCAGGCTCCATTGAGCCCCATTGGGCCCACCCAATAAACCCCTCAAAAACGGGTAGGGTTTAGGGTTTAGGGTTTTAGGGTTTAGGATTTGGGGTTTGGGGTTTTGGGTTTGGGATTTAGGGTTAGGGTGTAGGGCGTAGGATTCGCATACCTTAGTGGGTTATATAGTCGTATACCCAATCTTAGGGTTCATTTGGTCTTCAGGGGATCAGCAGGAAAACACGATGGAGTGCGCTCCTTCAGTGCTTAGTGGGGATATGGGTAAGTCCTTTTTTTAGGAGGTGCCATACTTGATGTAGCAACCCCAAAAGAGATTCTTATTTTGAGAACTACCCAGATGTTTAGGGGAATGGCTGCCTTCTCTTCACTTCACGTCTCTGCGGGGGAAACGCGTACGTACCAGCTGTGCAAAAGGGCTTTAGGGTTTAGTGCTTAGGTCTTAAGATTTAGGGTTTAGGGTTTAGGGGTTTATGGTTCATCTTACCTGAAAAGGGATGAAAGTAGACAAGGGTAGATGACCCCAATTTTTGGGTTCCTTTGGCCCCCAGGAATGTGAGAACATTCACAAATTGATCGATGGTGATTTGTAGCTCTTGTTGTAGAGCCAAAAATTGAGAAGATTATGCGGTATGACTGGATCATTGGTGAACTGTCAGAGAGTTCATTCAGATTAAAACACAGAGAATGTTAACCCTATGCACACAGACAAAGCCTACTGTGTTGTACCTAAGACTCCTTGAAGGTATTTTTGTCCTGATCTACAAAAACAGAGCCCCAAACACCAAACCCTGAACCCTTACCATGGGGACCACATGAACCCTAAAAGGGCTTATGGGTTCATATACCTTAAGAGATGATAGTAGTCTAGGGTATATGGCCCATTTTCTAGGGTTCATATGGTCCCCAAGGTTACCATCCCACCCCCCTCCCCCACCTACGGAGGCTGCCGCTAATCGAAGCCTTAATGCCTACTAATTAAATTACGGGTGGTTCCTACTACCCTAACCCCTAAACCCTGCAAGTAGAGTTCCCGGGCAAACCCTGAACCCTTCCACCATCCCCCCGACCGTCGGCTTTAAGGGAGGGGGGTTCAAGTCGAGTATGTAACCCAAGGTTCCATAGCACTCCCCACCGCTCCCTCAAACTCCCAAAGCTTCCCCGAGGTTCCCTACCTACCCCAATCTTTGGGGACGAAATGAACCCTAAAATTGAGGTCATCTGCCCTGACGAGGATAATTTCCTACTGAGGTAATATGAACCATAAACCCTTTTAGGGTTCATTTCATCCCCAAGGATGAACACCCCGTCCCTCAAGAACCCTAAACCCTAAACCCTAAACCCTAAACCCTCCCTTAAGAGCCCCTAAGACTTCAGAGGCTGCCGCCATCGAATCCCTAGATCGGGGCCCGGTCCTCTCTGCCGCGCGGACCGCGCTGCCAGCGCTGGAGACGTGGTGCCGGAGACCGGAAGTCGGAAGTTTGGGTTTAGGGTTTAGGGTTTAGGGTTTAGGGTGTAGGGTTTAGGGTTTAGGGTTTAGGGTTTAGGGTTTAATCCCTATACTACTATAATCTAGCGTTAGTCTACTATGGGGTCATATATTCTATACTGCCAGAATCCCTAAATGCAGGTATATGAACCATGAACCCTGTTGCGGTTCAGTTGGTCCCCAAAGAACGCCAAACCAACTTTGCATCACTTGTGGCAGTCTTTGTGGGTGCCCTTCAAAGAAGCAGGGTTCCTTGGGGACGAAATGAACCCTAAAAGGGTTTATGGTTCATATACCTTAATAGGAATTATAGTAGTCAGGGTATATGACCCCAAATTTTAGGGCTCATTTCGTCCCAAAGGATTGGGTTCTTCAGGGAAGGGTTGGGGAGTTAGTGGCTTTTGGCCCGCTGAGTTTGGAATAGATGAGTTTTGGTGGAAGTCTCTGGGTGTATAGATACGAACTCTGATGATTACCCCCTAAACAGAAAAGCCCACACTGCTACAGGCTCCGGAACAATGTGGCCCTGGCATCTGCCGTGGCAGCGTACCTGGGTGGTAGGGCCTTGCTCCATGGCTACAAGGCGCTCGGGTACCATCTTATTACCAACATGGGCCATTAGATTAGGACTTATAAGGGTATAAGAGCCCATGTAGGCAACTAGGCAGCTGTGTCGATGCTGGTCAGCAGGCTCCCGTATTGGTTGAGATTTCCGAAGCCCTTGCCAATCACAGTTGCTTGCGTTCTCCGCATCGTGAAATGGGTTGTTTCGGTTCGTGCTCCTCCATGAGCATGCTGCACCAGGATCTTTGACGTTTCTGGAACAAGATGCACTGTCGACAGCCTTTTGCGACATGCCCACAACACCGGAATGTTCAGCGTGTATGTTGTTTTAATAAAAGATATGGAGATAGTCTGTTTCGTGCTTCTGCAGCCAGGCGCGCTGTCACAAGTGCTCATACACAAGTGTTCATGCCTTTTGCGAACGTGCCGCAAACACTGCTATGTACAGCGTGTTTGCTTCAGACTTGCTTGTCAACACCGGCAAGGCTGTTGCAAAGCTTTGACCGCGACAGCCCGAAAGCCGGAAGACTCACAGAAACGGGTTTAGGGTTTAGGGTTTAGGGTTTAGGGTTTAGGGTTGGGTTTAGGGTTTAGGGTTTAGGGTTTAGGGTTTAGGGTTTAGGGTTTAGGGTTTAGGGTTGCGCTGCAGCCCCAAACAGCAAAGCGACAGACGAATTCTGCAAAAGCCAAACGTTTCGCCCACGACGCTCGCAAGAATCGGCCCTGTTTGTAAGCAGCCAAAGCAAGCATTTCACCTAGGCGAAAAGCTTGCTCCCAAGAGAAATAGGGTACAGGGTACACCGGCGCCGGGTCTCTTTGGGTGCTGTAATTCCTACACCATCCCAAAGGTTAACCTTCAGCCCCCCCAGGACACTGGACATCTAAGGAGGGGAGGACCCAAACCCTAAACCCCAAATACCCTAAACCCAAAACCCTAAAAGCACAAAACCCTAACAACCCTCAGAACGCAAGTGCCAGCAAAAGGTTTCCAAAGCTCTCAGCATAGGGCAAGGCACCCAAAGCAAAAGTTCATTTTGGGAGCCAAGGGTCTGGGGTTTAGGGTTTAGGGGTCCACGCAGAGGCAAGGGCCCCCGCGAGTTGTCCATGGGGAGAGTCCGCGCAATAGGAGGTCCACAGGGGTCCATGGTCCACGGGGGCTTTTTGCGGACCTGACCGTGAGACTCGCACCTTTCTTGTGTTCGCGTGAATCGCACGCCTGTTGTCCGGCCTTTGGTGCTGCTAGATCTGCAGGCTGAACGAAAATTAGAGAGACCGCAAAAATGCGCAGGTGGTGCACCTGCCAGCCACGCTAACCACCAAGGACGGGCTCCGAAGACGAAGTCTGTGGGTATTCCCTGGGACCCTTTTCTTCCTACATATGGGCTATACCTACTAATTAGGGATAGTTAATACTAACCTGTAGGAAAAATCAAGTCCCAGGTCCTTATTGAGTGCATTGAAAAACTCATCAGAGGAGTTCATCTCCGCGCACTGGCATCATGATCGCGCAGGGCGACGACTCAAGCTGATCCCTGGTGCAAGGATATAAGCCTTCGGCCCCTGCCAGCACAATCGGCATGTCCCCCGCGTGTCATCGGCCGGAGCAATTGCGCGCAAGTGAAAAATGTAGGGGTCGGAAGAATTAGTCATAGTATTCCCTTATGGTCCCTTTCTAGATATACTATAATCACCCCCAAAAACCTGTTCTAAGTATTCGGGCCCCTATGTTAACAAGTTTGAACGAAGGTTCTTGCGCCTGAATGATGTCGATCCCACGGAGGGCCACCCGACACAGGCTCTGCCTTCATTGCATGGCAGGGTTTAGGGTTCAGGGTTCAGGGTTTAGGGTTTAGGGTTTAGGGTTTAGAGTTTGGTAGCAGCTACCCTTAGCTAGTTAGTTAGTATATCACTACCCTCAATTACTAGGTATAACCCATAAACTGTAGGTAAAGAGGGTCCCAGGTTGCATGGAACAACAAGTTGCCAAGAGGGGCTGCCTAAACCCTAAACCCTAAGCCCTAAACCCTAAAGCCTAAACCCTACACCCTAAACCCTAAACCCTAAACCGCGGTCCCCCAAACTTGGGGTCGCTAGGCTTCACCTCGCAGGTGGCGTTGGGCTCCCATCGATTGTCCTACTACTGGCACGAGGAGACAGGGGAGTGCATGCGGTTCAGGGTTTAGGGTTTAGTGTTTAGGGTTTGGGGTTTAGGGTTTAGGGTTTAGGGTTTAGGGCTGATGCCGAGTGTGTCTGAGGGATCAGCAAAGGGCTTGTTGGAGCTTCTCAGTGCTGTTGTGGCTCCTTGTGCAAGGAGTTTGAGCAGTCACGCAGCTCGACTGCAAGCCCCGCCCCATGTGCCCTAGTCTAAACCCTACTCACCTAAACCCTGAAACCCCTGTAGCCACAGCACTAGTCACAGCTCCCCCCCAAAAACAACTGAACTCTATCTGCCTGCAGAATCCGGCTCACAAGGCTACGCAGACTCCTATGTCCGGAGCCACTTCGAGACCTCGCGCCTTGCTGGGAAGACCCTTGGAGCATGAAATTAGGAAGCGGAAACTCCTCCTGCATGGTAAGACGACCCGGGATGGGCCTAGAATCCCCATAATCAACCCTACGGGGCCTTTTTCTTACTTCTCCAACAGCTGAACTTTAAACTTTTTGGGTTTCCTTTTTTTAGTAGGAATAATAAAGTTTAACCTTTGTTTCCCTTGGTTATTGGAGAAGTAAGGTTTAGGGGGATATAGGGTATAATAGCCCGTCCTGGACAGTAGCTTCTACTCAGGAAGGGCACCGGCTACATTTTCGACACCAACACCATCCACAAGGCCCTGAGAGAGTCGCATCCATGTTGCCCACTTTGGGAGTCTGCCTCTTTCTGTCAGTTGAGTCTGCCCTTGGGGACCAATTATGAACCCTAATTAGAAAGGTTTATGATTCATACACCTTCACAGGAATTCGAGGTAACTAGCACAGGGTATATGATCCCTATGTTAGGGTTCATAATTTGGTCCCCAGGGGGCTTCCGTGTCTCAGGGAACACCAGAAGGTACCCAGCCCCGCGACGTCATCGTCGTGGAGTGCGCCGAGCTGACGCGTCGCGGTAGGGCATCGGGTTTATAGGGGTTAGGGGCTTAGGGTTTATGGTTCAGGGTTTAGGGTTTACAGGGTTTAGGGCTAAGAACCCCCCCCCCCCCAAAAAAAAAAAAACAAAAGAAAAAAGCGAGTTTCTTCCTTATAATGGCAATATGGGGATTACTATGTTGTAGATTTTTAGGGGGGGGGTTCTGAACCCAGTGAGACACCCCCGAGATTGGCGTCGGGGTTTAATTTGGGTCTTTGGGACCAGTTTAGGATTTAGGGTTTCGGGTTTAGGGTACTAGGGTACTAGATGAACCCTACAGCTGGGGTCATAAACCCTAGACTGCTCCAACTAACCCCAAAATTGAGGGTACGCGGGACCATAAGGCCTTTTGGGAGTCCTCTAAGGATGAATTCCCTTTTCAGGTACCACCACGCTGCGAAGTGCGGCCTTATCAGCTCATTAGGGCTGAACATCCCCTGCCCTTCCGGCGACCAGAGACTCTGCATCTATCTTTGGGGTTTAGGGTTTAGGGTTTAGGGTTTAGGGGTTTGGGGTTTAGGGGGGATGGGGGTTCTTGGGTCGAGGTTCCTGATAATTAACTGGGTCTTTAGAGCCATCCCTTCGATTTTGTTGTTCTTGTTTTGCCGCCCTCACCTTGCAAACGAAATGAACCCCCAAAATTGGGGTCATATACGGGTGCGGCTGAGTTGCCTCCACGCCGGGAATGCTGTCGCACCTTCCGGAAATGAATTCCTGCAGTGCAGAGCTTTCAGCGCCTGCCCGTCCGCCAGGGCAGCGCAGCGCGTATAGCGGCAAGAAAACATCCAAGGGAGGCACTCCAGGCGCCAAGACTCTTGGTTTTCTGCAAACCGACCCCCAAGAATCCCAAAGCCCCGCTGGATTCCAAGGAGAGCCCTGAACTGGCGGCCCAGCTGCACCTAAACGGACGCTGTCTTGGGTTTAGGGTTTAGGGTTTACGTAGGGTTTAGGGTTTAGAGTTTAGGGTGTAGGGTTGAGGGTATCGCTCCGGGTGTAGCCATGATGAGTAGCTGATCCACTAGGGCGTATCCGGAGGCGGACTAACACGCGCATGGCCGGATCCCCATACCCTAAACCCTTACAAACCCTAAACCCTAAACCCTAAACCCTAAACGAGGTACTTCGATCTTACTGACGGCCAGCTCCGGTGGATTCCCGAGGAGGGTGACGAAGCAGCGAAAAGGAGCGAGGAGCGTGAGAGTTGAGCTTGGGCTTCCGCCGCTCTGCAGGCTCGCCAAAGGCCATCCCTGGGGACCCTCTAAAATAGTTATTGGCTTAGGGTTTAGGGTTTAGGGTTTAGGTTTAGGCAGGGTTTATATTTCTGTTTTTGGTGAGTGTATATAAGGTTCCTTTCTAATATTGGTGAGTGTATATACCTGGTGTCCTTTTTGGGGTACAAGAAATATATACCCTACTTCATATGGGTAGCTTCCTAAACTAGGGTCCCTTCTGGGTAACTATTATAAGGCGGCACCCTTTAAAAGGGGTGACCCCAAAAAGGGACCCTGATTTAGAGAACTACCCATATATGGGCTATACATAAGGGCAGTTACACTAAACTGTAGAGAAATAGAGTCCCAGGTCTGGGCATTTCGAGCAGGAACCGTGATAACATTGAGTGCCAGCGTGCAACACGTTCCCTGATCCATCTCCTGTTGCAGCCTCAAATCATGCCATCAGCACGAGCAAGGACACCTCAGACCACACGCTGAGATTCCACAGCTGACCTCGGAAAACTTTGCAGGTAGCCAGCACCCGCCCGAAGCGTAAGTCATCGAGAAGGTGAGAGCTCCAGATGAGCAGGTGAATGGCATTTGTTGTTTCAAGACAAGCACACCACGGCGTGTCTTAGAATATCTCCCACATCAAAGGTGCGATAGATACAAGAGCCATCCACAGTACTCGCCTGCTTGCCGCCATGGCGTTCGAAGAGCAATGGAGCAACCAGGCACGCGTCTCAATGCACTCCGTGGGGGACCAAAAGTGAACCCTAAGAAGGGTTTCTTTGTGGTTCATGGACCTTTTTCTGGGTTATCGTCCTTGGAACCAAATGAACCCTAAGGATTTATGGTTCACATACCTTCACAAGGTTTATGGTAGTAACTATAGGTCAATTATATGACCCCAATTCTACCGTAAACCTAAACCCTACCTTAGGGTTCATTTGGTTCACAAGGTGCACGGTGCACCAGGCTGAACCAAGCCCGTCTGCCAAGGAATTGGCCCATGCACTTTGCGACAAGCTTGTGGTGCCTTGGCGAACCGAATCCAGGAAGGGTTTAGGGTTTGGGGTTTGGGGTTTTGGGGTTTAGGATTTGGGGTTTAGGGTTTAGGGTTTAGGGGCTACAGCTCAGTCGGCAGCAGCAGATTGAATTTGCCCTTTTGGGCACAGCGCCTGCGAATGGTACCTCCAATGGCTACAAAGCCCTTAGGTAACCTGAAAAAACAAGTAGGTTTTGGGGGGTGTTGAAGAGACACCGTGCACCCTAAACCCTAAACCCTAAACCCTAAACCCTAAACCCTAAACCCTAAACCCTAAACCCTAAACCCTAAACCCTTCGGAAGCTTCGCCTAAGCTTCGGCCCCGCAAGCCTTCCCAGTTCCCAACCCAGGCCACCAAGATCACCCCTGTGTCCCCAAACCCCAAACCCCAAACCCTAAACCCCAAACCCCAAACCCTAAACCCCAAACCCTAAACCCCAAACCCCAAACCCCAAACCCCAAACCCTAAACCCTAAGCCCTAAACCCCCTCAACCGTGAACCCCCTAGATCCCAAAACCCCCTGCTTCCCCACACCCGAAGCCCTACTTCCTACAACCCTAAACCCGAAACCCGAAACCCCAAACCCCGAAGCCCTACTTCCTACAACCCGAAGCCAAGGAAAAAGGCCAGCTGAAGGCCGGGAGCCCATCGTCAGATGGGCCTGTTTTGGGTTTAGGGTTTAGGGTTTAGGGTTTAGGGTTTAGGGTTTAGGGTTTAGGGTTTAGGGTTTAGGGTTTAGGGTTTAGGGTTTAGGGTTTAGGGTTTAGGTCGGGAGCTCTCGAGGTTGCGAGGCTGCTGGGCGAGTCTGAAGGGGCTTTAGGGTTGGTAGGGCTTAGGTTTAGGGTTTAGGGTTTAGGGTTTAGGGATTAGGGTTTAGGGTTTAGGGTTGGTAGGGTTTAGGGTTGGTTTAGGGTTGGTGAGGCGTCTTTTCTGGCAGAGTCCGGCTCCCATCGCAGGAGAAGCCGGCCTTCGTGCGCACTGATCGTGAAGCGCGGACTCTGGGCGGCAGAGCCGGTTCCGATTTCGGCAAGTCCTCAGGCTCCCACCCGACTCCTCCTTTTTGGGGTTTAGGGTTTAGGGTTACACCGCAACAACCGACGGTGACCGAAGAATGCTGTGAGGGGTGTTTCGACTCATGATTTGCCTCAATGTAGGTTTGGGGTATGTACTTAGACCCCCGGCTCCTCCCTTGGCTTCCCCCCCCCTCCCCCCGCAGACTTCCCAGGATTGCCGAGATCTTCGCCAGCCTGGGACTCGGTTTTCGAAGCTGCGCAGATATGTATTCCTGCTTTGTTTGCAGGGTATGCCATCCTGAACCGCAAAAGAAACGAGAAGGAAGGGGGCGTTGTTCTCAGTCTCTCTCTTCTCTTTTTCCCAGGCGTCGGCCTGGATGGAAAGAAGATGGCGACCTTCACGAACCCAGGCACCAGGGCTTAGGGTTTAGGGTTCTCTAGGGGGGGGAGCTCAAACCCTACATCAACCCGAAAAGAAACACCAAAACCGTGCATCCCGCAAAGCCCTCAACCTGAACCCGAAACCCACACTCTGAACCCTGCTGGACCCTGTGACCCTCTAACCCCAAACCCTGAACCCTGAACCCTACTAAACCCTACAAAACCCTACAAAACCCTACAAAACCCTACTAAACCCTACTAAACCCTATAACCCCAAACCCTAAACGCTATAACCCTAAGAACCCGATGAACCCCAAAGAGCCCAAGCAACGCCAGGGCCGCTGGAAGTCCTCGTCCGCAAGAAGACTGAGGGCGAGGCTGGGAGGGGCTTCGGGCGTCTTGGTATTTTGGGGTTTGGGGTTTAGGGTTTGGGGTTTAGGGTTTGGGGTCTAGGGTTCAGGGTTTAGGGTCTAGGTTTAGGGTTTAGGGGCTTTGGGGTTTGGGGTTTAGGGTTCAGGGCTGCAAAGGATCTTTGGGAAGGGTTTGTAGACAGGTCCTTTACAGGGCTTTCTGAATCTTTGCACAGATAGGCTCTTTTTAATAGGCCTATGGGCCCTCTAGGGTTTGTTTAAGGGGTTGAAGGAGGGGCGCCCATGCCTGTGCGCAACAGAGGCCTGGGTGGATGATGTCGCTTGCTCCTCGGTGTTTCCGCCTTCACTCATGCGAGCGGGGGGGTGGGGGGGGGGGTGTTTAGGGTTTAGGGTTTGGGGTTTAGGGTTTAGGGTTTGGGGGAGGGAGGGAGGGTTTGGAGGTTTGGAGTCTTTATAGGGTTTATGGTCCGCAGGCGCCCGTCGCCACAGCTTCAAGAAAAAAGAAAGCTTGCTCACAAGCTCGTTTGCGCGTATGTCTTACCTTAAGGCTCCGGGACTCTTACTTGAGGGATTTTGGGCCCAAAGGCCTTGTTATGTAAGGTTCTTGGGGCTATTTTTGAGCCTTTGGGCTACAGTTTCCCTAAGAGGGTTTATGGTTCATATCCCTTCATAGGGATTTTTTCTAGTGTAGCCCAATTTTAGGGTTCATCTGGTCCCCAAACCCTAAACCCTAAACCCTAAACCCTAAACCCTAAACCCTAAACCCTAAACCCTAAACCCTAAACCCTAAACCCTAAACCCTAAACCCTAAACCCTAAACCCTAAACCCCAAGCCCAGGTCCACACCCTCATCGAGATGCTTCCTGAGAGCGTCGCCCAGGCGGAAAGGAAGGTGGTGGGGCCCTCGGTGACTGCGCGGGCTGCTTCGTAGCGAGCTTTTTCCAGGGGCCAGATCCCTGTAGAACCCTATAAAGCCCTAAACCCTAAAGCCCTAAACCCCAAACCTTAAATTCTAAACCCTAAACCCTAAACCCTAAACCCTAAACCCTAAACCCTAAACCCTAAGCCCTAAGCCCTAAGCCCTAAGCCCTAAGCCCTAAGCCCTAAGCCCTAAGCCCTAAACCCTGAACCCTAAACCCTAACCCAAAATGGCGGGGGGGGGGGGGGGGGGGGGGCCTTCGGTGGGGAAGGGAAAGCTCAGGAGATCGATGAGGACACCAAGCACGAGCTTGAAGAAGCGCACGAGCAGACGATTCACAGGCCAGCTGAGGTGATATAGGGGTTTAGGGTTTAGGGGTTTAGGGTTTAGGGTTTAGGGTTTAGGGTTGAGGGTTTAGGGTTTAGGGTTTAGGGACCTTAGGGACCAAATGAACCCTAAGATTGGGCCCCTATACCCTGACTACTATAAGTCCTGCTAAGGTATATGAACCATTCAAACCCTTTTAGTGTCCATTGTGTCCCCAAGGTAGGGGAATAATTGCTAGTAGTATTCCCTTCTGGTCCCTCTATACATATACTATAGCAACACGCAGACCCCCCACTCTAATTCTTAAGGCCCCCGTATTACTTGAGCGCTTCTGGGGGGGGCGCAGAGGGGGATGCCACGGGGCTCATTGTGTGCAACGGCGCAGCCGCAGAGTCATCTTGATTCTTCGAGTCTTTGCACCGCCGAGAAGGGAGCCCTCATTGTAGACGCTTGCGCGCGCCGCCTCGGCAGCCGGGCCGGCCCTAGGACAGGAAACGAGGAAAGAGGGTTTCTGGAAGGGTCCAGGGAGGTTAAAGGGGTCAAGGGTGTTTGAGGGGGCGTGGGTGGGGGGGGGGATGGGGGGCCGGAGGTCCCACAGGGCGGCGGGGGGCCGCCACAAAATTTCGCACGGGGGAAAGGGGGAAGGAGGCCCGATCCGGGTCTGCTTGCTCCAAGCGCTTCTCGGCCGAAAAACCGAGGCGAACATAGATCCCGAAATTCCCTTATCAAAAGGACCCCAATGAAGTACCCCGAATTTCGGACACCCCCATAGTCTTCACCTGACCCAAAACCGTAAACCCTAAATCTCAAACCCTAAGCCGAGTATGCGAGTTTCGGACTTCTGACAGGCAACAAGAAAAAGGTAAGCGCAAAGGTGCAGGCCCCAGCATGGATGGACAAGGGCGAGGCTGACATTTAGGGTTTAGGGTTT